TCAATAATTCCATCCCGACCCCGTTCTACCCATTTTTTTCTTGGTTATTCCATTGAGGTGGGAACAATTTACTTATTTGCAATATTGGCTTCTTCCTCCCCCCCCCCCCCCCTCACTGAATGTATAATGGATGGATTAAGCTACAGATATGCATACATGGTCCGGGACCTTGAGGTCATTGCTGCTCTCCTGGTGTAATGAAGCGGAGCATTCGCGAACCGTTCGCAGGTCGATGAGCCGTTTCGCTCCCTCTGAGCAACCGTACGCTTGCTGCGATGACGGTGGATCGAGGCTCACGGGATGATGATGATGATGATGAGGGACCACGCGGGCACTTCAGTGGATTCATGCAACATTACACAACTAATAGAGTGCGCACAGTGTCAATGCACGCTATGGGCCGTTCCCGCTGCAAGTCAATTATAAACTGACATTACGGAGGATAATGAGTGTGGGGAGGAGGCGCTGTTCTTTGTGTAAACAAGTTATGCTAAGCATGTATATGGGACAGCATTGTCCATGCAAAGCATTGTTCCCACTGGGTTTGGATTAGATGACTGTAAATTTGCATTTAAACAATAGTCATTGTTTCAACAGATTATTGAAGCTACAATTGACAAAAGGCCACAGTAGCACTGCACAGGAGGACGATTGTGGTGACTGATGGTACAGACGTGGGTCAAAGACCACTGAACAGCGTTGGAGTCACTGGGAAAAAAAAAGTAGATCAGACTCTTGTTTGTGACACACTCTGCTCTTAGAATTAAAGGCAACCTCAGATAACTACCCTGATTAACACATTCTCCATTCAATTGGAATGATACCCATGCAAACAGATTTGAATTGGTCCCCTTTGGGGTTTAATTCGGACACTTGAGGTGGATTATTTCCACCTCAAAAGCACTAATCATGTGGCTGCAGCGTGTCAACCAGGACACTCAAGGGAACAAGCCAATGATGGATGATAAACTGGGGACGGGGGAGATGTGGGGAGCGTGCGCCAAAAGCTTAAAGTTGCCCCCCCCCCCCCCGCTGGTGTAATGCAAATATTGACCGCGTGCCCTGACGCTGACAGGCTTACTCAGCAGGGTGTGAATTCATTTGGTAGGGGATTGAACACAACAGACGTTTGCTTATAGGTAAAAGTCCCGCACTCCATCGTTGATGCTGAACGACCGCTCATCCGCCTTGAGCCACCGCCGTTCATTTGGTCCGTCTTCACGGTGCTCTGCGGAGAGCCCGTTAAGATAATCAGCTCAGACAGGACGCGTCACGCCAAAGGTTGATGATATGAGCAGATTAAAACCGGATAAATCCCTCCCGAGGTGAGGCTGAGCACAGAAGAAGACGTGTCCAACGTACTGCGGCGCAGTAGAGAGGAGTGTAGTTGGATGTGGCGCTTTACGCACGCTGATCCAATTAACATGAAACGCGTGGTGCTTAATCAAACCAGATGCTGTGAGAGTGAAACCCTGCACGGCTAAAAAGGAGACAGCTCCTCGTGTGACGCAACCTGTAGAGCTTCTCACTCAAGCGGTCAAACATACAAATAAACTGTGAGCAGCCCAACATGAATAAAACCCCTCAGGATGAGAATATACAAGATTTACATTGATGATGAGAGCAAGATGTGATCTAAAAAGGGCTCCGATGGGGCACGATGGCCAGAACACAAAATGTGTGTGTAGTGTAGTTTAATGAAGTAATTTAAGCCGTGCACTCCACATTTGATCAAAATAAGGATCAATGGAAAATCAATAGCCAAACAACTAATGATCATGGCACAAAAGGAAAATAGCTCCCCCCAAAAATGTATTCCCTCTTTTTCTCACAGCAATGATTCTATCTGTAAAATCTTAAATCTGTTTAATAGAAACTAACGCATCATATTTACTTTGGCTATAATAAGAGTACCTCTACATTGTATTCAAGTGTAGTAAGCTACTGTAAATCTTCATACATCAGTTTGGGGGTACGACCTCCTGCTGTGAGCCACTGGCCAGAACCCAGTTAGGGGTCATCTGACTCAATTATTATCAATCTATTCCTGGTCAAACATGCATTGGGATTTAAAAAAATATGCATCAAACTTTAGTAATATATGAAGTTATATTATCAGACAATAGGTGAATTAAGCAGCAGAGTCTTTGTCAGCACACAGCTGTGAGACAGTAGAGGGGAGACACACAGCCCGCCGGTTGCACTCCGGCCTCATGATAAATTAATTTGCTTGAGGCATTGAAATGAATTTATCGAGTTGAACAAAGAGCGTTCCCTGAAGGACGCTTGCCGAGCACGCAAACTTGTTCTCAGCTTGACAACCACTTGAATGGAATCTTTGCTCCGTGGGAAACATTACCGCTGTATTAAGGCCGTAAACAGAGGACCTGCTGTGATGGAGGGACGCACATCACGGCGGCTCAGCTTTAAAGGAGCCACCGGAGAGCGAGGTGGCACCAACAGACTTCCTCTGAGCTACGAGGCTGCATTCACTGCAGGCTCGGTTTCCAATTACTGCTCGGACTCTGATAACAGTTCATTACCTCCCCCGGAACATCAAATCACATCTCATGAATGTTATCCGACAGTGACGCAGGAAAGACTGAGACGGACTAAATAAAGACAATCAGTTGGAATCTACCCATGTAAAGAGTGACTGTGTCCATTTAGATTATGATACCGTTTAATTGAAAGGTAGGTTTTAATCCGTGGTTCAAGTCTAAAATATTAAACTGAAAAGTCGAGTTTACCCAAATTAGTCAATGAAACATTAGCATTTAAGGGATATATGCTCTAAACAGTCATATTTTTTATCTATTTATTTCTCAATTAATCATTAAAAAAAACATTCTGTGTCCTTTAACTTTCTAAACTGTACCTATAAGCAGTTGGAAATTATTTCCTGATGAATTTAACTTAATGCTTTTATGAGAATAACTACGTTCGATGATCTGTAACATTGTAGTAAAAAGTAAAATGGTACCATTGCATCTTTATCAGTTTACGCTGACTTGAATGTTTGCAATTGTTGACATCCTTATCAAACTGAATAATTTATGTCATTGAGTATAATTATTCTTTGGATGAGATTTGATATGTAAAAATTGAGGTTAAAACACTGTTTTCATTACATTTAAAAAAAAAAAAAAAGTTCAATGTAGTGACTTATTTAGTGAGTCTCATCCGTGAAACAGAGGCTGCACCATCCTGTCTGGTTCTGCAGTCCAACCCAACTCATCGCTTCTGCGGTTGAGAAAATAGTCCTCAAACGGCCCATGATGGAGCTCTGCAGGCTTTAAAATAGCCTGGGGATGGCGAAGCTATAAAACCTTGCCAAAATGTTATTGGTTGTACATAAAAGCTGAATGTTTCCACTTGAAACAGCAAATCAGAAATCCAGCAGGAGATCGGATGAGAGGGGCAAAAGGTACGTACATGAAAAACAGATATTGCACATTTCTCTGTACCATGGATGCATGCAGGGAGCTGAATGCAGCGTCGGAGTGTCTCAGCGAGGTTAACGTCGAGGTATAAAAGGGAGATGAAAGTACTCGGATCAACCGGCGCTCTTAAGCATTCATGGGAGAAAACTCAACGGTTTCTTATCAGCTGCCTACGATCCTTCATTCTTGGGCACATTCACACGAACAGAAGGAAGATAATTCTGTATTTGGCCATTAGTGCATTTTACAACTTTTAGGCCGTAACAATATATTTAATTGCCATTTTTGTCTTCGCCCTTCTAAATGCAGTTAAAAAAAAAAAGAGAAATTTAAGTTACAGATCTATTTTTCCCAAAGGAAGTCTGTTTGAGCCTTACAGCATCTCAAAAAATTAAATATATATTGTTTTTTTATATATATATATATATATATATATATATTTACATATAGGACAGATTATGATGTTAGAACACAGTTTATCTACAGCAGGGGTCTCAAACGCCGGCCCGCGGGCCTATTCCGGCCCCCCCCGCCGACCATAATGGTCTAGCGTTCGCCGTTCGGTCGAAGTGTATGAATATTAAATTATTCAAAGAACTGCAGCCGGTTACATTAATAACATGTTGACCCAAAAGCCTCAACAAAAAACTGTTTAATTCAGCCTAAGCGAGCGCATCAGCCGTGTGCTTCACGGAGCATAATTTATCACCATCTGTGGAGTAAGAACACAAACCTGGAACTCCGCTGTGGTTCTACATCCTGAGGGGACTTCAGGTGCACCAACAGAAAAAAAGTGCCGCCCCCCCCCCCCCTCCTCTCTTTGAGACGTTCTCCGTGGACTCGTTTATGGGTCGCCGTTTTCTGACGGCACAAGGATGCTCATATTCTCAGTCCTGCGCTCCGTCAGGTCCAGTCCGGCAACACAACACGTTACAACTACGCACCAAAAACAGCATCTGCATCACAAGTCACCGCCCAAAGTTATCACACAAGTATGTAAGAGTGAAACATTTTCTAGAAGGTGTCGACCACCTTAACGAATAACGTTTACGCTCGACGCTCACAAGCTGACGCGGCGAAACGCGTGGAAGAATGCCACAAAAGGAACGGTTGTTCTGTGCGTTTGGCACCAACACAACAATTATCTGAAGGGCAACTCTTCTGGCTGATTATGTACTGCGGTGTCACAGTAACAAGGTGACACATAGCGTCAGTAAGTGTTCTATGAATAGGTCACCAGCAGCACTGTGGACAGAAAGAGGGAACAGAGAGAGATCCGAGATGATCACGCGTGCAATTGCAGCAATTAAGAAGCGCCCCCCCCTCCCCAAAGAGCAGCTGGTTTCTCTTTTCTTTCTTGACTTTTATGGAGTTGTTGCTGATTAAGCAATAACGTGTGCCCTTTAAACCAAAATGATGTGCACCGCAGTGCCCTTGTCCCTCTTAATGTAACTAAGGCTGAGCCAAAATATGCCCATGCTTGGCCTCGTGCTGAAGAGCCGCTCACACAAACATGCAGGCATGAGCACATCTGCCATCACACAACTGCGTCGCACATCCAGTCCCAGTGCACCCGGGAAACATTGCTGAAACACACGCGCTCATTCACTCACTTCACTGTGCAGGAGTGCCAGGTGACGTCGCTTCTACTTGTGCTTCAGGAGGAAAATATTGGAAGCCATCAGTACGTGCAGGCCAACATTACCATACGTTTCTGGCTACTTTGCCAACCAGTTCTTAAGTCCGATTATTCATCATCAAATTATCCAGCTTCGGAATTGAGGAGTTCGACATCGAGACACACGGCTGTCGGCGTGGCGACGGCTGGTTGTGGCGAGCAGGGACTCAAACGTTACAGTGTACAATGTGCAGACACCGAGAAGCGAGAGACCCGCACGGATGCGATGAGGGTGGAAAAAAAGTTTGATGATGAAGGGATTGGGCGGATCGATCCCCAAAGAATGAAACAGGACAAGGGAATGATTGCACGGTTGCATTTAAAAACAGATCTTAAGAGCCTTTTGTGTTGACTTATACTCAAGTTAATGTTTTTGTTCAGCCAAATATTATCTATATATTTCCCACAGTGTCATTAATGATGAATAAATAAATACTCAAGGCTGGCAGTAAAAGGTACCAACCGCAGTCAGTTAATGTTCAGCATCGTTTTGGAGGAGAGCAAAACTAAACTTGAGTTTAATCGCCATACAGAGCCACAACACAGAGACGACGTGCAGTTTGTACCTCTCTCGATGTACCGGAAACATTTTACAGCTCACAGGAAACTCCTCTGCAGCACAACGTGGGAAAGAGGAGGAAAGTTACACAGAGAAATATACCTGTTCAGTTAGTGAAGTCCTCGTGAAGAGAATTCTGATCCCGTGTGATAACGCAATAATGGTGCAGTGCAGCTTCGCCTCATACCTCAAACAAGACTACGTTTGGAAACTACAATTCAAGGTCGGTCAAATGAGTCAGTGAATAATCCATGAAGAGAATCACACACGTTCATTGGCAAAAAACAAAAACATAGAAGCAATGTGAGCAGCTCTCATGGAGGACGTGTTGACGTGTGAGTGCAGAGGCTCCTTACATGTGGAGAAGAAATGCAGCTTTTTGAAATCTTTCTATTATAAATCACAAATGTGGTTGAAACCTCTGGTGAAGCAATTGCTGCACTTACGCAGGTAACAGAAAAAAAAATTAACATCCTCATTTAATTTAAGACTGCCTCTCCTTAAATTTACATATTCCGTCTTTTTTTACAGCATTCGTGGGCACGAAGAGATGGTTAACTACTTTGGGGCCAACTATAGACAGCATGAGAGCACTTATCCAGCTAATCATTATGTTTGTTAACCAAGCGTGGCTGTTAATCAAGAGTCTCCTCCTCCAGGTGCTCGCTTCCTGCTGCATGCCGTCTCCGCCGGTCACGAGCTGTGCGGGTTCCTGTCGGAGTGCGCAGTGGCCCTGCAAACCCATCATTTACTCATATAAAAAAAAAGATTCTCGCCATGACCTTCACTTGGACCAGGTGACTGGACTGCATGTGTCACGGAGCAAGCAGTGCCATTCCGGCGCAGATGTACCATTTGCTGATACCAAGCGGTCTGCACCCTCTCCATAAATGTGGGGGATAAATCTGGGTCAACGGATTGAAGCTGAGTAAACATAAAATCATTGACCTCGTATTGACGTTAGAGGACGCTCAGACACACTGTGCTCGGTGCCAAGAGGCCTCGTCGACACACAGTCCATCTTGAAGTACGTCGGTCTCTGTAGATCTGGAATGTGGGAATAGAGATATTCCCCATAACCTTGAACAGTGTGGCCAAGTAGTCACGGGTTTAAGAACATCAGAACCGATGCCGCATTCTGGCGCTGTGCTATTTAAATGCAATGTCGAGGTAATGGAATGGGTTTGGAAATTGGACTTGTTTGGTGACCAGTCGAGTGGTAGCCTCAGCGCTTAAGATCTTAAGATCTTACGCTAGTCTGAAGGACACACCTTCATGGCCTTTTGAGTGTTCCAGGAACAGATTTAAACAAACATTTAGACATTTTGGAAATGCAATTCACTACTTTGCAATACCTCGGTGTCCGCAAATCCAGCATAATGGCCAAATAAACAGTATTTGACCAGCTATGACGGCATTGAAATGCTTCCCGAGGAGGATTTAATACATTCAGTCATTTGAGTGGCACCTGAACTAAAGCCTCATAGACCCAAAAGGTGCAGGCGGACAGCACAGATGGTAATGTGAGGAGGGTTCAGGTGTGTGTGAACCAAAGTAGGCCTGCATTTATAATTCAACAAACACACACAGGTAAAGAGCCGGATCACAGCAAACCAACCCAGAATCCCATGCACAGCCACCGACCTGGAAGTGCTCCACGTGATTGTATTTTTTAACAAGTTGTCAGCTAAAGTTAAGTGTAATGCTGCGATGGTTTTCCAGCATGTCAATTTTGCCGGGTCACACGTGTCATATACGTCTAATGTTTGTTTAAAAAATATATATATAACAAACATTAGACGTTCCTTTCTCACTAACTGCTTTCTGAATGTACAAAAGAAAACAACGCAGTTTCACAGCTTCAATAATGTTCTGATCGCTTGACTTAAAAATGAGAGAAAACGCGCTTTTAACCGGAAAAGGGCGTCACAACAACGTTCACTTTTTAAGCAGTTCACCATTTGAACAAATCACTTCCAGACAGCTGTAGTGCGCAATCCGAACCTCCCAGAGGAAACAGTCTAACTTACCCCATGCTCCGAGGATCTGGATGCTTTTTAGGACGGATTCCACTCACCACCGCTCCACGTTGTCTTTTTCTCCTTGATTTCCAGGAGACAGATTCGCCTTTTCCCCGAAATCCTGGCCGCAACTTACATCTCCGACAACAAAAAATAGACAAATCACTTCCGACTCCAGACTTCCCTATTTCTCCTCGAACTGTAGTCCTCTCTTCTCAAGTAGCTTATACTACAGCCCGCCTGCCTTTCTTTGTCCGCGGGGTTTCCACGCCGAAAAGCACAGCCGATGTGTGTCGTCCCGATGCGTAATTACGCACCGCGAATCGGTTGGCTCGGTCCTGCGGGCCGGGCAGGAGAAGGAATGTCGATGAAAGTCGGGCAGCACGGTGCTTTTGGCTCAAACCTCGTCCAGGACGTGTGTTGCGCTCCCTTCCCGCCCGTGTGCCAGATCACGCTGGGATCCCATTCAACTCTCGGTGGGACCGTCGAGCCTCTTAAGCGCCATCTGATGGCAATAAGTAAACTACGAGCGAACCCAAAACCCTTTATCCACACTCCACTCACATATCCGAATGGAAAGTAGCACATGGGGAAATATTTATGAGGTGCGGCGTGTTAAAAGCTTAAACAGAAGCCTCAGAGTCAGATGTACAATGTTATCGCACGTTATTTTAGATACTATAAACATAGTGATGCATCGTAATCATATCACATAGGAGGGATACAATCTAAAAAGAACAGCAAAATAAGTATCAGGCTGTTGATAATATGAGAAAAATGGATTACTGAAAATCTGCTTCTAAAATAGCACAACACCAACATTTACATTAAGTCTATACGGGAATATTAGTCTAATTAGAACCTAATTAAACATGTAATCAAATGACTGCTGTTGTGTTGTCATCTAACTGAAAATACTCTAATATTAAGGATAGCAAATTAATTTCTTCTCCTCAAAACATCAGGCAGAATACCAAACCAAACAAAAAAGGAAAGAAATAAGCTTCCAGCCAAAGTCTATATGGGAATATAATTGAATTTTTCCAATACGTATAGTATACATAGTTTATAAAATGCTAACCTCATGCAATTTATAAGATTTATGAAATCTATTTCCTTTTTTCTTATAATGTACAATCTGACTTAGTCTGACATGTTGTAGTTGGAAACATAAATTAGCACACAAATGCACTTATGTACAATAAAGATATAATAATAACAAATTGTATAGTTATTGTTAAGCGCAACTTGGGGACATTTAAAATGTCCATGGAGCTTTAATTGGCAAAACTGGAGAACGTGTAACACTTTTACTTCTTGTTAAAACTCCTCAACTTTCCCTTAAAAATAGTTGAAAAGCACAGCAGCTACACGGTTAGAAGGAGCTGCACTTCACCTCATTAATTCATGCAGGCCGGGTTTGAAGTCACCCCTGATTTAAAATAAACTATTTATTGCATGTGCACGGGGTTGGACATGAGAGAGCAGAGCATTAAATGTAGTGGAAGAGCGAGGGGGGGCTCCTGTGCACTAACCGTTCTGCTCAGTGGCCTGTTACAGCGATGCAGCTGACTGCTGTTTTGCAGGGAGGCAGCAGGGAACATGAGATCTCTACCTCACATGAAAACAACCCTCACGCTCATTTAGAGGGACCCTTTTCAGCTGGTCCGAGGCAGTTTGCAGCACAGCTGGACCGTCCGGGCGGGATGGAGCTGAACCTCCTGGCCTCGGCCTTTCACACAGAGGGTATTAATCACCTCTGGCAGCCACACACACGCATGGGCCTTTATGGAGAAAATGTGCTCTCTTTCTCCTGTTTTGTCTTCGCGATGAGAGAAAGTCCAACCAGCTATGGTGACCGCGGCAACATCTTCTATACTGCAAGTATCGTCTTGACAGAGAATCCTAGGAGGAAGTCAACAAACCTGCTTTGCAATTAGTCTAGAAGAAAAGGATGTGGGTGCAACCCGCCGGAGTCATTCTTGAATGTCAGACCAATGTGTTCAAATCAGCTTTGTGAAAATCCGAGGTTACTTTCAGCCTGATTATTTCAGATCACTCAGAGGAACACATCAGTGATAGCTGGAACAGATGGCCAGTCAAAACTAATAGTGCAAACATAAACATTATATCACATTATCATGTTGATAGTTTCTGGGTTAAAATCCACTAACAGACATTAGCCACCTCCAGATAATTGGTGGATAAGGATTACTGCATGTTCGGGCTTTTACAAGGTAAAATTGGCTGTATCGTAAAAGGAATAGTTCAATGATACAAAATAAATATGATTTTCATAGTGTTGGCTGTATTGTTGTGCATTTGTGTTTCATTATCATGTGGTAAATTACATCGTTAAAAAAGCATCGTGACACCAGACTACCGTGTCTTGTGGAAAGAAAAAAGTGTTCTTATGTTGTTTCTTCGTTCTTATGCAATCTCTATCCACTGACTGAGATGTGACTTTATTATGGTTTGTAAAAAAATAATCTACTATCAGTTCAGTAGGCTAATGCATATGGCTGTAACACAATACAAGTGTTTATTGCTTTCTGTATCACAAATAACAACCATTCATTTTGAATACTGAAGCACATAGCTGATGTACAGGAGGAGATGCAAACAGGCCCACGTATCAAAGCTATGGGTTTTGCCTCCTGTTGTGCAGGAGCACTGAAGAGAAATACTGGTGGAGAACTATAGAACTGGAGCCATAAACGTCAGCCTATGATGTCGTACAAGTCTAGACAACCAACTCGGCCAAGCCGGGAAGTGCCCCAAAGGCACCACCTGGTGAATGTTTTTGGGGTTGTTTGGATGATGGCACATTTGATTGTGAATATTCACCACTAAATTAGAATATCAACTTATATTCAAATGACAAGGCACCGCAGATCCTGTAAGTAAGCGGATTGCATTTTCCTATATTCACCATTTATGTTTGTTTGAAAGTGTTAACACCCACTCATTACTTTAAATACTTTATGTGTATTACTACAGCTCAAAGAAAAGATTGTACTCATTAACTTTTTTTACTAGTTATTATGCAGCTTTAAAATACAAAATATTTTTTAAATGTATTAATCATTTATGTATTGTATTATTATGACTAAAGATATGGCTGTATTGACTCCTTGTAACACATTGTTTCTACACCTTATTGTATTAAAACTTTTCTTTATGTAAATATAGTAGGCCTGGACATACGAATGCCTATACATTTTACCAGCATGTAAAATGTGACCTTATTGAAATACAAATACTAACCTAATGCAGTTAAAAGTTAAAATCAGATAATGTATTCAATACCGGTGGGGCCAGCCTATCAAAACGTTACATTACATTTCTACATTCTATCAAAATGGCCAGCAGAGGGCGTCACCGCGCATGCGTCAACTCGAGTCTGCCGCTACCAGGAGAAGAAGACAAATAATTACGTCGGACGTGTTACGTCATCACATTGCGACTGTAACACCGTGTAGCACACGAGGATGCTTTTCTCTCCGTTAAAATTACGCTAGATTATTTCAGCTAACATTGTATTAAATACACGGAACCGTTCATTTAGCCCCAGAGAAGGAGATAAAGTGCGAATGGCGGACTTTGCGTCGCTGGGTCTCTCGGACTGGCTGGTGAAACAGTGTAAACAGCTGGGAATCAACAAACCCACCCCGGTCCAGGAAAACTGCATGCCCGCTATACTAGAAGGTAAGACAGCCTCCGTTCAATCACCAGGTTCGTATCTGTAATGTTAATATTGTCTGGACTGCTTTAGGAGGATCGAATCAGCAGTCTCGCGTAGTAATTCAGACCTCCCTTTAAAAAAACCTGTAATTGTAATGGTCAGATTGAATCATGCAAGACAACACGTAGGGTCGCGGTGTGTGACTTTGCTGACGAGGAAAGCAACAGTACATGATCCGTTTGCTATTCGGGTTGAGCTCCATGCTGAGGGAAGCATTTTAATACGTATAGAACAGATGCATTAAGGTGCTTTTGCTTCCAGGTCGGGACTGTATGGGCTGTGCTAAGACCGGAAGTGGGAAGACCGCAGCCTTTGTGCTTCCAGTGGTGCAGAAACTGTCAGAGGACCCATATGGCATCTTCTGCTTGGTGCTCACTCCTACCAGGTCAGTGCTGAACTGCTATTAAGATTAAATGTATTTGTGATCTAAAAAACAAGTAGTTAGGGCGGGTTAGCGTATGAATAAAGCACAAAAATTCCATCACATGTGAGACCTTATCAAACCTTGAATTTCAGCTGACTCGCACTTATGTTGTGATGTCGTGCAGGGAGCTTGCCTATCAGATTGCAGAGCAGTTTCGAGTGTTGGGGAAGCCACTGGGTTTGAGAGACTGCATCGTCGTTGGTGGAATGGGTAACTATTTACTACGAGAGTCCGCTTTAGTTTTGAAGCACCAGTGCAGCAATGCTACTGCAGAAATTGATAAAACAAAAACTGTAGGTGGTTGTTGTGAAACGGTATCTGAGCCTCTCCTCTGTGCTGCCGTTTCTCACAGACATGGTGCGTCAGGGCCTGGAGCTGACCGACCAACCACACGTAGTCGTGGCGACGCCCGGGCGGCTGGCCGATCACATCCGCAGCTCCAACACCGTCCGCATGAACAAGATCCAGTTTCTGGTCAGTTCAGGGGGGTCGACGGGCTTTCAGGCCTCGTCGCTGCCAAACCTCTCGTACACTTACGATCTCTTTGGTCTCTGGTTCTCAAACAGTTTCTGTCAGGTCTCCCTTTGAGGACATTGTGAGACCCCCAAACCTCTCGAACATAATATCAATCATAACTTTACTTTTCCACTTGGTAGTTGTATTATATTTCCAAGTAAAAACATTTCAAATATTAAAATTGAAGCTGGCAACCGTGCAAAAATGTTTATTTCAACACTTAACGGGACTTTTTCTCTGTGTTGCACCGTGTCTTTTTCGCCGTCTTTCTGATTCTGTGTGTATCTCTCTCTCCGTGGTCATTTAAACAGCCAATGACTTTAATATTTCTAATTTTGTAGATATTTTAAAAACACAATACTGTGCTAAAATCAGTAATTTAAATGATAAACTAATACACCCACTCGTACAGTTTTTAACTAGTTTTTGTGGATTTAACAGATATTGGATGAGGCGGACCGACTGTTGGAACAGGGTTGTACCGACTTCACCAAAGACCTGGAGACCATTCTGGGGTTTTTACCGGCTAAACGGCAGACGCTACTGTTCAGCGCCACGCTCACTGACACCCTGCAGGAGCTGAAGAACATCGCCATGAACAAACCTTTCCTATGGGAGAGCACATCAGAGTGAGTAACCTGCTGCCATTAGTGTATATAGTATACATAATATTAGCCAACTTCAAAGGACGTTACAGGTCTCATTTTCAGCTGTGTGTTAATCTTTGTTTGCAGGAGTATATTCAGTGTATTTGTTGGTGTCAAACAATTTATTTCAGGACCTTTTTTATTTTGCCCCATTTCAGACACATTCTTTGTCATAAAAATCTTGCGTGACATTTATGAAACGGGAGCACCGGCCTGGATAATCAGTTTGCTCTGATCTGGGGTGCAGCCAGTTACTGACGCACGTCTGTCGCACAAACGCCTCTGGATGTAAGACACAATTGTGCAAATAATGAGAACTAAGTGTGGTTGAACGAGCGTCCTTCTGGGTTTACCAACGCTCTGACTATTTGCAGGGTTCAGACATTCAGAACGGAGCTACGAGCTCACGCAGGTTTATTCAGTTGTAAAGGATAATGTAATAATTGTAACAGCCAACTTAAAGTGGGGCAGAACAAAACAGCTTCATTTCATTGTTCTCATCTTTTGATGTGTGACGAAAAATGACTGTTGCATCCGATTTTCTTCTGGCAGCACACAGGCCTTTGGGCACTGTGCGATTTCCACTTGGTCCATGCTGCTGAATATGAAGTTTGAATCCGGGATTGAATCACATCCAGCTTCAGGGTTTCTAAACTGTACTATGACCTCCGACCTCTCTGGCAACAGAAAATCAATCCAGCTATGGGTGACATTGAAATGTTGCCATTAACAGGACACGGACGGTGGACGAGCTGGACCAGAGGTACATCCTCACACCAGAGAAGGTGAAGGACGCCTACCTGGTGCACCTGATCCAGAAGTTTACTGACGAGCACGATGACTGGTCCATCATGATCTTCACCAAGACATGCAAGTAAGAAGCCCCGGAGTAACTACAACACCGTAGACGCTCGGTTACGGGACAGTATTACTGTAATGAGGTGCAGGGTTTAGAGAAGGAAAGCTTGCTGCCTTTATGAAACTGGTTTTCGATGCGTTTTTTTCCAGTGGAATAAAATACGTTACCAATAGTATAAACGTGGATAGAAATTCCTCTTACAAAGGCAAAACATACTTTTCAGGCTATGTGCATGTAGATGTTGGTTTGTCGTGATGTCACATTGCAAACCCAATTCATCGTGTGCAGTAATGATTGGTCTCTTTCACAGGGACTGCCAAGTCCTCACCATGATGCTGCGGGAGTTCCAGTTTCATACCATCTCCCTGCACTCCATGATGAAACAGGTGAGACTAGTGTGAGTTACGGACCCGAGTGGGCCCTAAACTAGCCTGATCACAGAACACGGAGCAGCTCTATCCGATTTTGCTCTGTGTGAAAGAACGTGAGCAAAAATGTCCTCCAACCTTGTGATGTGTTCCTTACGTCGCGCCCCCACAAGCTGCAGAAATCTTATTAGTCTCATGCAAGGGACAGAAACGCGGTAATAGAATGGCGTTAAAGCAGGTGAATCGGTCCTGTGGGATGAACGTCTTTTTATTTTCCCTCCGCAGAAACAACGATTTGCCAACCTCGCCAAGTTCAAGGCCAGCGTCTTCAAAGTCCTGGTCGCGACGGACGTGGCTTCCAGGTGAGAGGCGCCTCCTTTTCACACCTTTTTGGGAAGTTTTAACATCAGTTTGTTGCGTCTCCAGCTGTCCCGTAGTGTCAGATGTAGTCGGTCAACTTGTTTTTTTTGTTTCTTTCTGCCTCAGAGGTTTGGATATTCCAACTGTCCAGGTCGTCATCAACCACAACACCCCGGGCCTCCCCAAGAACTACATCCACCGAGTCGGACGAACCGCAAGAGCCGGTAACACTTGATCCGCTAATCGTCTCTTTGTTAGTGAACAGAGAAGGCGACGCAGTCGACGTACTTGCTCTGCATCACGTGACGTCTCGAATGCGTGCCGCTCGGAAAATGACGCGGTTTCTTCTTGCCTGCAGGGAGGAACGGAGTGTCCATCACGCTGGTGACGCAGTACGACATCAACCTGGTCCAATCCATCGAGGAAAACACTCGTAAGTCGTCTGGGTGTGAATGTGCTCAACCGGACTCTTTCACTGTCAGCTGGTGTTTATTTTTCTCGCTGCCCTGTGAACATCGGTTCTAACGGAGATGAAGCTTGTAGGAAATCCAGAGATTTTTGGCCAGTGGAAGATTACGTAGACTTTACAGCAGTGACTTTCATACTCACTTTATTTATCCGGCTCGTTTCGGTTAATAAGTTTAAAAAATAAGGGTCCTGGATCAGATCCCAGGGTGTTTAAGAGGGATGTGACTCGCTGTCATCGGGTGTGTTGTTTCCACAGAGACGAAGCTGAAGGAATATCCTGTGGTGGAGAAAGACGTCTTGAAGATCCTCACTCAGGTCAACGTGACCCGACGGCAGTGTGAAATAGTACGAACCGGTTCATGGGGTTTTAGTGCACCACTTTGATCAGAACCCAAAAAACATTAACCGCTAACACGAAGTCCATCGGGCTGTTTTCAGAAAAGGATCTTCTCACTGACATGTTGTTTGGTGTTAAACGCTTTCCTTTTGTATTGTAGAAACTTGAGTCAACGGATTTTGATGAGAAAAAGGAAATCAACAAGAGGAAACAGCTGATCCTGGAGGGGAAGGTATGTGTGAATATTACAAAACATCAAGCTCAATATTTCAGAGGAATTTAGGAAGGTATGTAGTAGCTAGATAAAAGAGTGAAAGTTTTAATAACACTTCTCTAGCTGAAAAGCCAGGAGAGAACAGTGTTAACCTGCACACTCGTGGACTAGGTAACGGGCATTTGTCTGATTGTCGACTAGGATTCAATTCTTCACTTTTAAGAGAATCTGTCTAAATTGGTAGTAGGATCCGATTTGTAGCCAACCATTGTTAATTTATCACTCTCCTGTCTCAGGATCCAGACCTGGAGGCCAAGAGGAAGGCTGAGCTGCAGAAGATCCGGGGCCAGAAGAAGAAGTTTCAACAGAAAATCCAGGACACCATTCAGAGACAAAAACATGGACAGCTGAAGAAGAAACTAAGGAAGAAGGCAGCAGACAAAACAGCCTGAAGTATGCTGCAACTCGTGTATATACCAAGTGTTATTACTGTACAATACTGTTTGTGTGAGCATCCGCAAATAAACTGCATGATTATATAAGTCTGAATTTCACAACATCAAACCCACTCAAATTGACAGCCTTTATTGATTCAGTTTAATAAGGATCCACCATGTGATGATTTCAAATCGGTATTTACATCACTAACCTCCCTGCATGTTGACACAACGAAAGGTTTAGATGCAAATGTTAACAAATGAACAATTAAATCATTTAATGATCACTGCATTGTGGCTTAGAAGATGCGGAAAAACAACCAAGCGATAATATTACGGCAGCAGGTTCTTAAAGCTATAACATGTTAGGATTTCAGTAGAACGGGTTTATATGAGGAAACTAATTCATTTCACTAAAAAGTGATTCGCACAAAGGCAACAAAACAACTTTTTCTACGTCAATTATACATGGAAGCGTCTACTTACAACATGATTGTCACATGTCAGCAGGTGAGAAACAGCGGAGTACATTCTGCGTTCAGAAAGCGCCTCTCCCGGAAGAGCTTAGAAAAACTACAAAACTCATGAAGACGGGAATCAGCCCGCGCCTCACTCCTTGCTACAAGAACAGATTTTAGTAAAACTACACAAAACGGCTAAATAACAATCAGAACAAAATGTGACACACAGCAGGGAATCCTCCGACTAAAGCAAAGTTTGGATCAACTCAAGATTCAGGTCCACAGCGTCCTTCAGGAGAAGGACTCTACGAGGAATACATAATGCAGGCAGCACAGCGTTGCACAAATCAGTCCACTCAACGAAAACAAATTTTAAAAAAGTATCAGCTTTCATCTTGTTTTATTCCACATAGAAGGAAGGATGGTGGCTTTTTTTTTTTTATCCGCCCATCCTTTTGAGGTTCAACTCTGCTCACCTCACCTCTACCTGGACTTTATAAAGTCATTTTCTGTGGATTTCTTGAGCCCTCTGATGCCTGGAAGGTTCCTTTATGCTGGTAGTTTGATTTTTAACTACATTCACGCTTGTGCTGCAGCGGTTTATGGTGGTTGGTTGTAGGCACTGATCAGATTCCTCATCCACCTTTCATTTATCTGCAGGCCATCATTTAATCAGCTGATGGGTTTAGTAAAGTTTCATATATAATTCCCTCCACACAGGAACCAAAGATCCTTCAGATTACATTGGTTTCGTTTAGATTCTACATTTTTTTTCTCATTTGCAAAAGCCTTAATTCTTCAACCCGATTCTAGCGACTTTTGTGGCTGGACAACACGGCCATCGGCCTTTATTACGTCTCATGTGAACGCTGTTCACAAAATCAAAGTACGGTCTGAGATCCCACTGCGGTAACGTCTCACGTGAGCTCACCTATCAGGACGGGACTGTCCTAAAGCCACATGTCAACAGGAGTCATTTTCCAGAAACTCTTCCCTCAGCCACCTTCCTTTCTCTACCAGCTCACCTCGGGTGGAGTGATTGCCACAACCGCGCGGTAAGCCTCGACAGCGATCAGCCTTCTTTCATTATCTCGTTTGGTTTCTTTCACCTCATGCAGGGATTTGAGTCGTCCCCCGAGCAAACCAATCGATGCAAAGCACCGGAGCGTTTGCCAATCGAAGCGTGCACAGAGTATTCAAAAAGACATCTGGTCATGTAGGCCAGCGGGACATCGACGACCGCGGCCCCCGAAAGATTAAAAGAACAACAAGCCTTGACTGAAACATCAAATGACGTTGAGTTGACTGTCCGATGCTGGTCGTGTTTGATAGTTTCAATGACTTATTTGCAAAGTTGTGCTCTGTGATAAGAAAAGATACTTCAGAGAAGAAAAAAACGGTCCCATGACAGTCTCGGTGGGATTTGCGCGCCGTGCCTTGAGAAAACAGTCAGATATCCCGGTGCCTCTCCAACACTGCCGTGGGGTCGGAGCCGCCCCGTCAAAGACCTCGGGAATGAGCCAGTGCTTCTCAAGGCAAATGAAGGGTTCAATTCTAGGCTCTTTATTCTCAGACTCGAGCACAGAAACCGTGTTTTTATGTCCGCTTCGAGGAGGTCTGTCGACTGCCGCTTCCTGCAGAGGCTGCTGAGGTTCTTCGGGGCGTCTCCCATGATAAACCAAATTCAAGAGCTGCAGGTTAAGAAACCAACAGACTTTTTAGCATGAGGATTTTGAGCTTCCCACTCGATGGCTTTTTGATCATCGGCCCCACCCCCCCCAGCAAGTTCTTCAAATTCAGCGGGAAAGCGTCAAGCTCCACCCGAAGAGAAGATAGCTTTCTTTCCTACTTCCTTCCTTCCTTCCTTGGAGGCTGTGTGTTGAAGGGGTTGGCTGAATTATTTTTGTTGGGAGTTGAGCCTCGTTTGGACTCCCACGCGAGGCCGTCGAGATCTCCCCCGCGTTTCCCTCAGCAGCTGGACCGCACGCCGCCATCTTTCCGACTGTCTTCCTTCACTTTGCACGGGCATCAGTCCCTGCCTCTCCGCGTGTCCACTCGGCCTCTCTTGCCACCGCCTTGCCCGTCTGCTCGTGCCCTCTTCGTCTCCTACCCTCTTACTTCTCTCGCTGGTCATTGGTTTGGTTTCGCTCTCCCGTCGCTTTCACTCGGTGGTGCTTCGGTTGTAGCAGAGGAAAACAGGTATCCATTTTATGTTTTTATTATTTCCCAGATTAAAAAGCTGATGAACTAAGCTCAGTTCAAGCTTAGCTCCCTTCTTCAAGTACCTGCAAAACACAGACGGGCTCATGAGTTCTCGTCGGGAACGGCATGTGGCTCGAAAAAAAAAAGAACCGTCAGCAGTCAGAGATCTTTGCACAGCAACATAAACATTTAACTCCCAGTCAGCTCCCAGATCATTGATATCACTAATGAGAAGGTACCAATTACAACACTTTTATTTCATAATCCTTCAAACTGTGTAATATTATGCAAATAAACACAATGGACCCCGTAAGAAAATATTCTTAAGTAAATAAAATGTAAGGAAAAATTAAATATTTCAGCTCATTGGCTGTACGGTTATTCAAAATTGACAAAAGCAAAATCTACTGAGTGAAAACTTCTCTTTAAGTGAACTTACTTTAGTTGAAAAAAGAAACAGCAACATACCACAAGGTTTGACTTTGCCACTGTCGTCATATCACAGAAACTTAGTATTGTGATATTTTTTGTGGGGCCCCTGCTGACACCAATAATTTACAAAACCCCAAAATCCATCTAGTTTAAATAGAGCTGAAAGAAGTAAAGTTCAATTGATGTGCAAAGTCTCAAAAGCCCTGAAAATGTACCTTTCAGTGTTCAACGTTAGGTATACATAAATAGTTTCGTATGGTGAGAAATTTGAAGCCTGTTCAAATATCTATGATACAACTAGTCACATCCATCTCAGTAATGACACAATGGCCGGCCCACTTAGTTGTGACTAAAAGTACTTACACTTTAGTACTGTGACAGTCCAGTCACCCCACCATGCTGGTATGCACGTTCACCCTGGTAGGTGGAGTCCTGGGACAAAGCCACGTCGATTTGGGACTTGAACTCATCGCCCAGGTAGCTGTCCTGCAGAACCAGAGGAGAAACAGAGGAGTTCTTAATTAATCTTGTGCCATTGGCTTTGGAAATATTGAAGAGTCTCCCATTGACAATGCTAATAAAATATGTGTAAAGAAAGGGAAGATCACAAATGTAAAATCAGATTATATTATATCTTGCCCTACTTTTTCTGAATTTACTCAATTCAGTTCACAACATACAATTAAACTATATTGTAAATATAATATTCAATAAAATTCTGTCAAAATTGCACTTCTTTAGGTAAATTATCTTCAATATGAAGCACATAATGAGCAATACAATAGTGCAAACTTCAAATCCCCTTCAAAGTTTTATAATTAAAATAAATTATTCCCAGTAAGGATTCGAATGAACGGATTAAAAAACATGCGCATTAACAGTCATGAAAATATTTTGACAAATCTTCTTCCATACTTGGGACAGCTCGGCCTGAGAGAGGCCAGCCTGGCTCATCTGGGAGGGCTGGCTCATGGAGATGTAGCCCTGAGTCAGCGGCCCCTGGGAGAAGGGCTGGGAGGCCCCGTCCTGGCTGGCCTGGCTGTTGGGTCCGTTACCCTGACTGGCACCCTGGTGTGCCGATCCTCGGGCCCTCTGCCTCCCGCTGCGGCCCGGCTTGCCCTTCATAGCTCCGCGAACTTGAGGGGAGGGTAAAAAAAAAAATCATCACCATAGTAAGAAAAATAAATATAAACCTTAAATTCATAATAGGTTAACTAGATGAAGTAGAGCCTGTGATATCATTGGGACGCTTGCTGCCGGCAAAGAGATTTGGTAACTGACTTGTGTGAGTACTTGCCCCCTCTAACAAACAGGACCATGTTTTCTTATCTTCAGTGCTGTACTGTACCTGCAGCAGGGCCGTTGGTCTGACCCAGGTAGCTGGGCGGAGGCATTGGCGGCATCACTAGGTTGAAGGGAATGGGGATATTCATAGCGGACATGTGACCGGGGCCCGCCCCAATCATCCCAATCTGGTCGTGGGTTTGAAAGTACATGTTGGACGGACGTCCGGCTGAAAGAACGGGCAAAAGAAGACTCAATATCGGTTTTCTTTTTTTTTTACTGAAGAAAATAAGACCAGGCAAGACCTGTTTTGAATAAAGAAAAGCCACGAGACAAACCATAAGATACTAAATATATATTTAATGAATACCAGTACTGCTGCGGTCGTAAGCAGAGCCGGGGATGAGGGCCTCACGGGCGTCGTACATCGCAGTGCTCATGAAACGTCCCCCCTGGTAAAAAATAAAAATAAAAAATAATCTCCATTTTAAATAAACACAAAAAGATTCATATGGCTTAATTTGTCAAGTGATTTGTTTGCCCCGCAGCATGATGGGTGCACACGCAGCCGTCGGTTCTACTCACAGGGTTGATGGTGTTGACCAGTTTGCGGGGCTTGCTGAACTGCATGAGGCTCTCCCTCAGGTTGTTCAGGGGCCCCTCCACCAGGACTTTCTGTTCCTTGTAGTTGTTCAGCAGGTTGTTCCACAGCGGTTGCTTGGAGAGAGCTTTGGGATTTCCCACAATGATCACGCCGTACCTTTTTTCATAACACATGAGACTTGGGCTCAGGCGAGTGGCGCACATTTTCTAATCAGTTATACTGGGCAGAATTTCAGACATTTTAATATATTCATTTTTTTGCACGTAGACATTTAAGTAATTGTCAGAAAGAAGGTTTTTACTTGGCTCGGGTCAGCGCCACGTTGAGACGGCGCGGGTCGTTCAGGAAGCCGATGCCCTGGTGCTCATTGGCACGGACACAAGAAAGGATGATGAAGTCCTTCTCTCTGCCCTGAAAGGCGTCCACGCTGGCAATTTCCACTTGCTGTGACGGGACAGGACGAGAGCGGGGTGATGGGGACGTTGCATAGTTAATAAAGAGCAACGGAGTTTGTTCCAACACCAACGGGAAAATCTATTTCACACACCTCTACTGAGGAGTGTTTCTCAGATATAGGTGTGCTACCTGATAGAGTTTGGTGTGCAGGGAGCCGCTGAACTGCATGTACTGGACCAGGTAGGAGCGCTGGCCCTCGTACGGCGTGATGATGCCGATTTGGTCAGGTTTGGCTCCAGCCTTCAGCAGCCTGGTGGTGATCTTCTCCACGTTTGCAGCCTCAGTCCTTAAAAACATCAGCATCACATGAATACGGTGCCGCTCACTCTTCTAAAAGTTACATGTGAAATCAAGCGGTTTTGATGTGAAAGCTGTAATAGAGCACCCCAAAGTGTTTCAGGTGACCCTTTCCCAGCAAATGTCAATACGCTTTGTGTATACTCATTTTGTGTTTTGAGGTAAATTAGGCAAAGTAACCGCGGATACGGTTTGCCGTTACCTGTTGAGGTAGGAGGTTCCAGAGCTGGCAATCTCCTCTTGACCCTGAGTCACGTAGAAGAACATGGGCTTGTCCGGCTGCGGCCACTGGAAGTCAAAGCCCTTCTTGATGCGGTCAGCTGAGAAAATAAAAATTGTTTGTTTACATTTTTGTCTTAATTTGCTCCTCCATCTAACCAGACGATGAACATCAGCAGCCTCGACAAACCTGCAGTGACGCCGTTCTGCAGGGAGCCCTCGTAGAAGATGTTGGAGGGGAAGGCACTAAGAGCCGGGTGCATGCGGTACTGGACCTGCAGGCGGATGGGCCGGATCCCCAGAACCACCAAGCGCTCAAACAGGGACTGGGAGAGACCTGCCTTGGCTGCTTTCTTACACATCACCACGGGACCCAGCTGGCAGTGATCACCCACCAGAATCAGCTGGGAGGAGGAAGATGAGTCACACAAGTTCAACAGTACGGTTTATATAACAGCATAATGTAAGACGTTTCTGGATATACAGGGAAAATAGTTTTGCTTAACCCGATAACATTAAATTCATAGTGATAAAAATTGAATTGACATATTGATTGAAAATTTCAGAAAATATTTGTAGCAATTGCACACCTCTATTTTACTATTGATTATTTTCAACTGCATCTTAAATGACTGGACTTCAAAAGAAAACTTTCAAGCACCTTCAATGTAGGGATGTTTACACATTCACAGTTGCAATGAAAATTCAGGATTAAAATTCAATTTTTAACAATGACTAGTTCGAAAAATATCCCCAAAACGAGGGAAAATCTGAAGCCCATTGGCATCGGCTCCATAAGCCAAGCTAACCAACTCACAGCTGGCTCAAGCTATGCTACAACTGGCCAGTCTGCATTTAAGGGGCGTGACCTAGCAAAGAGGTCACAGGGTCACATTAGGTGTACTACCTTCTATAGTGGGTGGAGATTAGTCGGTATTAAGCTGTGTGCGTGCATGTCTACCTGCTTGGCTCCAAGCACCACAGGCACCATGCACTCCGGCTCCGTGGCCTGGGTGCTTTCGTCAATCAGGATGGAGCGGAACTGCATCTTAGCCAGACGAGGATCTCCAGCTCCAACGCAGGTACAACAGATAACATCCGCGTTCTGGACAACAAAGATGATTTATTACAACTATTATAAAACAGAGGAGTGAGCCAGATGAGAGGGGGGAAAGACGAGGGAGCAAGAGGGAGGGTATTATCTTACACTGTTATTATGGGGAGAAATTAATATTTTTGAACCTCTGGGTACAAAAGGGAAATCTACTTTTATCAACACTAATTGTACAAATCATAGTACGCAATGAAATACAGGATCTACATTAAATCAATCCGAGTTGGACAGAAACTACACACACACATTGAAGATGAAGAACAGTCCGAATCAGTATGAAAGTGCTTGGCGAGAACTACCTGTTGCATTAGCAATAACTCAAGCGCTGTAGTGGTTCTTTCTGTTAACCAAGTTTCAGTATATTAGCTATTTTGGTGCAACACTCCGAAACTCCTCACCATGAGCAGCTCCCTCTCAGCTGTGCGCTTCAAAGCCCTGTAGCGCTTCTCATCGGCAGAGGACAGCTCGCCAGTCTCATCCTTCAGCTGCTGTAGCTTCTGAAGCTCGGGCATACTAGGGAGACAAAGACACATCTGGGTTACTGCGGAAAACACTACTAAGCCAACCTAAGCCAAACTGATCCAGCATCAGTTATTAATTGTTCATTCATAGTACAATTTTCTCAATATTTTAAATGTATTTACTCAGTTGCTAAGTTTAGCTTTTCGGGATTGTCAGAGGGATCTCATGGTTAGGGTAATTTAAGCCAGATAACCTGAATGTACCAGGAATCTGGACTAGAACATGTGTGAGTACATTGTGAAATCTCACATAGAAGTGAAAGAACAGGATGAATATAGAAGTTTAAAAATAGCTACTGTTTAAAGCAGAGTTCAAGTATCATTAACTCGAGTCCAGAGTCAATTCACCCCACATGCCACTGACCTGTCCATGTTGCTGATCTGGTTGTGGAGAGCTAGGAAGGATACCGGGGACTCGATGGCCTCCCGGCTCTTCGCACAAAGCCTGACGACCTTCAGTCCAGTCTTGTCAATCTTCTCCGTCAATTGATCCACTGCAATGTTACTGGGAGCACACACCAGAACTGGTCTGCAAACAGACACAGATGGAGGGTTAAAGGATTAAAAAACATGATGAAAAATACAGTTGGTGGATAACAAAAAGCATGACATGACAGATTTCTGTAAGAATCCATAAATAAATTGTGATCATCTTTACCCGTTGCCTTGTCGGGACAGGTGGTAGACGACAGTTGCCGAGGTGACAGTCTTCCCGGTGCCAGGGGGACCTTGGATCAGACTCAGAGGCCTCTGGAGCACCGTCTTTACAGCATACACCTGAACAAAGAACAAAAAAAACAAAAAGTTACCTACCGAAAGAATTCTAGTTCATGGCTTCATTTTTTTTTTGAGCCTATTAAAAAAACGGTAAACAAGACTTTTTTTTAAATTTCGAAATAGGCTTGCAACATTCCGTGAATATTCAAAGTTAAAAACCTTCCAAGGGAATTAATGTGATTACACGGAAATTAACTGGAAATTTGGGGGTAAGTTAACCGCATAATACCTTGTCATAACTGAGAGAACAACATTTAATTTTCAGGAAAATTGGGTTTAATAGCTACATACAAAGAAACAAATCATGTGCTGCATTCCATACATCTTTTTTGTGTTTCATTTTATTTATGACAAGGAAATGAAAAGGTTTGTCTGCGGACGGACAGGGAAAAAGCTTTTTTGCCCATTTGCAACCCTATGGATGAATGACAGGGAATGTGCATTTTGTGAGGTCTGACCTGTGAGTGATTGAGGTCGGGCAGGCCCTGCGCAGTGAAACGCTTTGGCAGCTGGCACTTGATGGTGACATCCTCAACCTCGTGGCCCAGCAGTTTATGGTAAATGTAACCAGACACGGAGGTCTCGTCCACCGCAAAAGTCTTCAGGGCGCTCTGCATCCTGCATCCACCCAAATGTGTGTTATTATCACTTCTTCATCTTTGAACCTCTGTGCTTACCAAGTTTACCTCTGTGCTTGGTCAGACATCTTTACTTTACAAATGATAGACAGGGCATGCTTACACAAATGTACTTCCTGTAAACAATGCAAACTATTTAAATCTGTCTACTGTTCATGGGAGCGTTATACTGTAATGTGGAGTAATAGAATGAACTATGACAACATTTGGGGGTATAAATATGAGCCTACCTGTCAAAGGACGTGGACTTCCACACAAAGTCGACCTGGAAGTTGTGAGGGATTTCCACAGGTGCTCCAACACTGCTACGCAACTCAATGGCAATTTCATCCCCATAGTCTTTAAAGACAGGATGTTAAGGAGGAAAACAATACATGTTCTATACCAGTCTACAAATATTTTAACACGGAAGAAAAAGGAAGAAAAAAAAAACAGACTAAGCTTCCGTCAGCGCACAGCTAACGATAATCAAAAGAAAAGTGTCCAAGTCTTTTGGTTTTGGGTGGTTAATGTTAACATTGAGTGCAGTGGAAGATGAGGAGAGACCAGCGAGTAATTCATGACAGAAAACTCTAGCGGGACACAATGTAATGAAACATGGGCAGTACAAATGCAACTGCTAAAAATGTAAAAGATACTGTCAGGGACTTTGATGACATGACCTATGCCTTTCCACAAAGGGGCCAGGTCTCCCTTGTACCGCAGGCAGATCTCATCCCCCTGCATCAGCCGCATATCTGGGATTGATACAAGAACAAATGTTAGACACACTTCTATGCTCAAAATGAAAAATGAAGTGGGGAGGATGAGCTATGTTGATAAAAACAAATAATACGGTACCGTGCACGCACAAAAAAACCTATCACAAGAGACAAAGGCAAAAAAACAACAACACACATGCCACCAAAAGATGCAGGGTTTGGGGAGTTTGCGTGCACTTCTGATGACTGAAAGGAGATGGGAGGGGCTCTATCTGTACCACAGAACCACTGGGAGGAAGTTAAGCTTGGAGAATTACCACCTGAATCCGTCTTGGGCAGTGTGAAATAGGCAATCCGCTTTTTATTCAGCCCCAGGTCCCACCTGACTGTTATATTGTCTTGGGTCTGCAGAAGGGTGAAAAAATATATATATATTGAATCAACTAATTATAAACGGTGGAGGATTAAGGTTACCATCACCGTGGCAATGTTTTAAAACCTTAAAAAGTTACAAAGCTCCCTTAGAAGAGCAGTTCAGGTACCTGGGACTCCTTAAGCTTCTTGTCGTAGTCGGCCTCCAGTTTGACCAAAGGGCCAAAGATGTTTTGGTACTGGTAGGCATCCTCATAACGCAGCAGCACATGCTGGGGCTCCTCGTCCACTCCAGGTTTCTCCAGGTCTTCCAAGGTGGCAGTGGGGTTGTCCTGAGTGTAGACAAAGTCGAGAAATCTTAAATCTAAAGTACATCCAACATCCTTTAAAAAACATTACTCTACAGACATTCCATAGTAGAGTGGCAGGTTTGTTTTGAAACTTGTGACACAGGTGGATATGGATTCCTGTTCCCAGCTGGCACTTAGAAAGTGTTTTCCTGTGGTAAAGAGCTTAAAACTTTACAGCCACCCTGGTCAGCATTGCTCTGAACATGTATCCCAAGAGAAAAATCCTCCCAGTCTGTCAGCCATATACCTTCCACAGCTCCTCCAACTTGTTGATCTGCTGGGCAGTAATCTGACGGGCTCGAAGCTGCTCCTGCTCTGATGGGATCTTCACCAGCCAGGACAGGAAGCAGCGGTCCTGGATCAGTGGCTGCCACTGCGAGCTGTCCCAGTTGATATCCTTGAGGCTACTCTGGCTGGCACACGGCTGTCTGCATTGGAGATACAAGGTATCACAAAGACAGTGTGTGAAATCTGACAGTAAATTAAAATAGAGAATTGTCAAGAGGTCTCCTGCTTCCAGTGGATTTTATTAAAAGCAACTCAGTGCTTCCCCTACCATTATAACAGCTAACCTGCACTGCAGAGTAGCTTATAATCGCTGCCGGTGCTATCCGGTGTGACCGGCTGCAGGAAAGTGTTTCCACGTACGCGGCTCGCACTTACCGGCAGAGTAGCACCACGACGGAATCGGCCTTAGCCGGGATGAAGCCCAGGAGGAAGACGTTGCGACAACCACAGTTGTAACACTCCAGCACTGTCTCGCCCAGCGGCCCATCTTTATGCAGCGTTACCTCTTTGCATTTGGCTCTCACCAAGTGGTTCACAATGTGACTGAAAGTCAGAGTACGGGTTACATTTTTACAGAAATTCAGCATCATTTGTGCAACAAAAGTCCAGCTGATGGTGATAATAGTAGAATAACCAACATTTATAGCCGTTTTGGTTGCTTTCATTATCTTTAATTGGGGATGTTTACATTTGAGTAGCTTCATGTTCGGGTGCTGAGAATGAGATTTACACACCTGCCAGATGTGTTGCCACGTCCATTGCAGAACCACTTCTTGCTGGTATTGCAGTAAACAACACATGCTGGATCGTGAATACCGCAGTAGCTGAAAAAACAAATGTACAAACAATGTCCCTGGTAACTTGACGGAAGGATGAATTAAATAAAGCACATTCAACATGTCATTTGAGTTTATAAATATATTCAACAAGACATTTTGTGGGCTTGTGCTCTCCACAAACAGGACTAAAAGGTTTGTTAAAATAGTAATCTTTAATTTTTTATTACCATTGTATACACAAAAATGGAATAATGCACACAATTATGAAAACTGAACACAATTCCACATCAAACTCAATCTTCAATCTTAAAATGTAACAGTTGGTCAAACAAAGTCAAACAATTCCAGCTTTTCTTTAACAAATACTTCTAAACAAGATCTGTTTAAGAACTTCAGCCGAACAAGTTATGCCAAGGCTGTCAGACAATCACATTCTAAAATACATACATATATATTAATATATATATATATATATAATTATATTACTTTACCCTCCTTTTTCGTCCAATCACATCTTTACATTTCTAAGTGGACTTCTACAGCTAGACCTCTTTCCATATTAATGTATACAACTGTATATTTTGTATAATTGATTCATGCTTACAGTATCGTAAAATGATTTGTACCCGGTTAAAAAGACACAACACAAGCACTATATTATATTAACGATATGAAAACCGTCCCTAAAAGGCAGGTGTGTTTTCTTCCTGAGTGATAAGAACTATTATACAGTTTGACAGTCCTGTGCTCATCAGAAACGTTGTACCAGTTAGTGAGAATTATGAGGTGGGTTCTGTGTGCCCCGCACGTGGTGTGCAAGTCCTACACGTATGACAAGCACAAGGAATACAGTACTGATCGACCGTGAAGAAAAACACTGATCCTATAATAATTACTTCCTCTGATCTACGAACACCAATGTGTGGTTCCTGTCTGTGTTTTACCTGCACGCGTGCAGTGGCAGGTCTTTAGTGTAGTACGTGTCTTCCTCGTCCTCCTCAAAGTTGAGCTCGGCCAACAGCTGGCTGGCTTTGGCCACGGAGTCATCCACTCCGCCGTTGAGAAGACCCTCATCAGGACCATTTACCTGTAGCACAAAAGAAGCTTTAGCAAACAAACGGGATGCTAACGATTAGCCGCTAGGAGACGCAGCGCGGTAAAGACAGCATGATAATTATAAATTGACGGGCTGTCAATGCTCTTAACTCTAATCTTTAATCGTCAAGGTTACACCTCCGTGTCTGGTTTTCACCGAACAGTCACAAACAAACGTACAACGACACCACACATTACTTTAGGAGTTGAAGAAACGGGCTTCCTAGCTAGCTATCCGTTAGCAGCTCCAGCTAGCTAACATATAGCTAACCAGGCAACGCCAGATCCAATAGCAGCGGGCTAGCATGCAGCCCTGGGTGAGCTAACCTAGCTAACCACGGCTAACGTCAGTAAACCGCGCTTTAATTGTGGCTTCCTGTAAAAGGGAAAGCCTCAGACCTGGTTGTCCAGCTGGCTTTGGGTCTGGCCTTGAGTTTGCGTCTGGCTGGGAAGGGTGAAGTCGGTGAAGTCGTACTCGGAGCCCTGGGTGTCCGCTCCGAGCAACTCCGTTTCCTCGGTGTCTAGGAAGGTGAGGGTCTGGGAGCTCGGCCCGTACGCCTCCACACTCATCTTGAGTCTCAACTTTCGCTTCACTCAACGGTTTCCGGTGTTCGTCTGAAGATGACCAAAATCCCCGCGCTATTTCTTTGTCGAAAACGGCTGTACAGGCCGACGCCGTGCGTATGGATTTGAATCAAAACAAAAATGGAACCGATCAGAACCTCGAAAGCTTCAGCAGGTCCAACAGTGACGGTGACGAACTTCGTTACGCCGCTCAACGCGTGACGTCCAATGGAGGCAAGGCTGCCATGGGCCGGGCGATCGTCGGTGGGGAGCGAGCGCTCACTCTGATCTTACGAAACAGAATCGTGGATCCCTGTCGGGCAAATGTGGAAATAGCTCAAGTTTACGGGAAATACCCGCGGTGGAAGCTGGAATTCACTCAACTAATCCACTTGATTTTAATCGAGAATGTACCTATTTTGCTGCTTTATACCTCTTCTCTGCTACATTTTGCAAGTGAATTGTATTTATAAAGCCCTACAATGCAAATCATACATTTGTCTGTGTTTTACAGTCTGTACAGTATACAACACCTTCTGTTATTAGAATATAACAATAATCTTTTGAATCCATGACTTTATAACTGAGAATATTTCTGTGCTGTTCTATTGCTGAGCTTACATGAGTAACATAGAGTACTCTTTCCAGGCACGTGCACTCACATTTTGGGGGGGCAGGTGCTAAAACCCAAACAAAACAAAAAACATCGTCCAAATTATTTATGAAATTAAAAATAAGAATAATAAATAAATAAATAAAAAACACAGGAGAATATTTTTCAGCTTATATATTTATTTTTGTTAATAACTAACTCAAATGATAAATAAATGAATATCAGGAAAAAACAGACAAAACTAGGCCATATTGTATAACCAAATAACATGTTAAATAATCAAAAGATATTCTAACTAAAAACTTCTCAAAATCAGAAAATGCAGAAAATGTATGCTGTAAAATAAATACAACTCAAAACTAAGGCTTTGACAAAGCAGCTTGCCAAAGGGTCTGATTTAATGGTGCTGAAATGAAACGTGGGGGGAATTTTTTCTCCTGAAATGCATGCATAATATTCGAATGAATAAATTAAAGGAGCTCCACGGGAGCATCCTCCTTGGTGCCATCTCTTGGAAGATGTTTACTGTTTTCTTTTACAGTTGAAGCATAAGCCGCATTACACTAATAATATACCTCACCCGACTGTCATGTAGCTCAACCTAAGACTTACCTTTGATTTCAATAATTGTATATTAAACAGAACTAGTGAACTTGTCTAATTTGTAGAACAGAAAAACTGCCTTTAAATTATCTGTCTGTCTGCCTGCCTGTCTGTATCTCTCTCTCTTCACTAAACATAACAAACGTCGGTAAACAGCTGGACGAAGCTTTGAAATCACAGACTTTTGTTTATTTTTAAGGAAACGTTGGACCAGTTGCAGCGTAATGTTTTCAGCAGCGCTAATGTTGTGGTTAATTTGTCACCAAACAACGTCAGGGGATTCCACGAATAGCGTCATCACCTGTTGGTCTGATGCTGCAGCGTTTGCGGGAAATTGATGACAGAGAGAACAGCATGTTATATAGTAGTATAGTATAGATCTAATTATTGACACAGTGGTGCTTCAGAGTAACCTGTGAACGGTGTAAGCTGGAACAAAAGGCCTCACTTTTAACTAAGAAGTGGGAAAAAAATTGCAATAATGAAAACAAAGATGTTACTTGTTATTCTTCAATTGTCTTTATTTCAAAGCCTTTCCTTTAAAGCCAAGGTTACGTATTGTAACCGGGCTTTGTTAATGTCAGAAGCAGAAGAAGACACCTTTAACTCACAATAGAAATCACAGAGGCATAATATTATTGTACAACGGAGCACAAACAAAGGAATAAAAGTATTTTTGAGGTAGCCAAACATCTGACTGGACTGAATCAGTATTCTATCTTTGAACTGACCCGCTGAGTATTTTTAAGGCCTTTTCATAAACACACATAAAACAACATCAAGGCACAGGGTCAGAGGTCACCTCATATGTAAAGTCGAGGCTTTCACTCTTGTGAGTAGACATTGTAGGATCAGCTCCTCGACATCCCTTTCACTTCTCAGCACTCACAAAGCCACGCAGTAAAATATCAGCCTGACATTTCAACAGGTCCGTTAAGAGATTTTTAAACCACTCAACCAAGAATTAAGTTGAATCACAAAAGAATTTACGCCTGAGAAGCGGCTCAGTTCTGTTGAGGCTGGTTCTCCAGGGTGCTGTTTTGGATACAAGCCATGTTCTTAATGTGGCACACGTCGCTAAAGGATAATACCTATTCACTCAAACTACTGGCAACTTGCTAAACAAACATGCTTAACTGATGAAAAGTTTGATTAAACGCTCAACGAAAGGCCGTAAGACCACAGTTTTAGTTACCTAAGACTAGCTAAGACAGATTATATGGGGAAACACAGGGTGCTAAAGCAAAATGTACATCATTCAATACTAAAACTGCAAATAAAATCGCCTAAAGCGGTGTTGTGACACATGGGCTGCTGTGACAACTCAGTGTCCGGGGAACCGCTGGTGCACACAGTGAAACCGATGGCAGTCCAATACAAAAGGGAATAAAACAGAATTTGTACACCTGGGAAAAGCACCACCACAAACACATTGTTGGAATCTGCTGCAGGTTTTTTAAGAGATCAGAACTAATCAAAACACAGGAAATTAAAGAAAAACTCACCTACAAAGACGGATACCTCACATGCATTGTTATAATTGTTGTGGGGTGAAAAAAAGGTGTTTATGTCTGAACAGCTACATATTTATAGTTAAGGTGTCTGATAATGAAAATACAGAATGTTTACATTTACATAGCTACAATTGCTGTCCATTTTTTATGTAAAAACAAAATAAAAAAAGTTTGTCAGAAATAAAATTCCAGGCCTCATTCTGACAGTCTAACTTCATCAGATAAAATAAACACATATCTGATTCAATAACGGGAACAACAGAAAACTGAGATTTTATCAATGAATTAAAAGCAGCGCTGCACAAATAAAAGGAAAACTTGGGATTTTGAAAATTTGATCTTTAAATGATGCAAACTGTGTAAACCGTTATAGATTAAGAAAAGAGTACCTCCTATTTAAAATAAACAAATGAGAAAATATGTCCTACCATATTCTGTGTTTTGCACAACTTCAAAACAAAGCTCAGAAGAAACCATTTCATTTAACCTTAGGATTTTTGTGGTATTAGTACAATGCCAAATATTTTCTCAATTCACTGCAAAGCCAAAAAACAGTTCCCAACTCCAAAGGACTGAATTTGAAATCTGTAAAATTACATTGCACTGCCTGAGGGCCAGATCTCAGTGGGTGGATTTGTGTGGTTTTTTTTTGTTAAGCAGAATTGGGCCAACTAAATTGGGGAAATATAAGCTGGAACCAACCCGTTCCCTGATTTAAATAACCTTTGTAAAAGAAGGCAAAATTACTTATTTCTTCTTATAAAGAAAAAGGACATAGGAAACAATTCAACATCAAGTGTTTGGCTTGAGACTCCCGTTTTATCTTCTCGCCATCGGGAGACATTAAAACATAACCGAGTCAGGGCAAGAAAAACATGAAGCAATGACCTAAAACAAGAGAAATAAACGTTCAAAACATGTGATTTCATTTCATTTCATTTTGTCCAAGTGAGCACGATAATAACGTAAGGAAGAAAGTTTGGCTACTTGTGGTTAAGTGCAATTTCTCTTGTGTGTTGAGGGCAGGAGAGGCTGGTTGGCATCTGGAGGTCACTTAGTGGAAGTGCTGCTGGCAGTGGATTTTCTCTTCAGCCTGGTCCAGAAGCTCCAGCATCTCCTGGATGATGGCCTGCAGCGCACGGCCCAGGTCTTCCCCGCTGTAAGGCTTTCCAAGTGGAGGCACGTGAACGAAGGCCGAGCGGCCATGGCTCAGGTACAGAGATGTGTAGTAGGTGAAATCACATAAATACCTGTTAATGGAAGAAAGCACAGCATCAAATGACTGCAGGTCTCTGCATAGCTGCCACAAAGTAGTTTGCTATCCATTTACATACAAAGCAGACTGACTGTATGACTAAATGCATTACTGCATTTACATTTCAGCAAATATACGCTACGCTAACATTTAGTTGGCTTATTTATTTTTTATTACTTCTCCACTTCCATTGTTGAGTGACGTCATACTACTACTTGAGTGGGGGTAGATGCATACAAGTAGGAATTCTGAATTTGAAGGGATTCGATTGGAAACGTTTGACTTCCGAGTTGCTTTGAACTTGCATTACAAAATCTAGTACAGAAATGCCAACGACACACCAGGCTAAAACAGTCAATGAACCGACCCTTTGAAAAAATGATAAAGTTATTTATGGGTGACTTGTTACTATCGAGCAGCCCACTTTCACTGAAGACTTTTTGCACAGTTTCATGTTGGTTTTCTATCAAACTGAATGCATAGTGTCAAACTAACTACAAATAAGGATGTAGATATATCACTGACTGCCGATTTATGAATGGACTTGGTTATCATGTATCTATAGCAGAGTGCTGTAGATGAATTATGTGATCAAGAGGTGCGAGACAAAACAAAACGGTGGTTATAAATGTAAAAAGCGAAGTTAATAGTTACCTTCCAGCGTCTTTGGATACAGACACAGCGACTCCTAGGCCCGAGGAAGTCACTCTCTTACAGACCGATTCCATGTCGATAACTGAGTTGATGCAGTCCGGGCCTCCCACAATGCAACACTGTGAATCGGGACAGAAACTGCTGTTGTCGAGGCCCTTGTAGCCATGGTTTCTTCCACACTTCTCCAACGTGACGGTGGTGGCCATCCCTGAGACGCCGACATGAACTACCAACTGGCAAACAAAAGAAAACATTTTTCTTTTTAAAGTCATAATAAATAGTTAACATCTAAACTGCCGTCTCAAAGTACAATTAATCACAATACATGTTTGGCAGCGTTCTTTGACGTCACCATGTTTGAACCGTATGTGGCTAAAAAAGGAGAGCAGAATACACAAAACACACATGAGTTGTGATCATGTGATCATGATCAATATTGAGTATCAATATTCCCCTTTTTAACAAGTTAGCACCAGAGCCACACCGTAGCCAGCCAGATGGTGATCTGGCTAAATCAATGTGTCGAGCACAATTGTTATTGGCAGATTGTCCTAAAGGCCGAGCATATCCAATTACTTACTGTTACCGAAACCTTTAAATGAAAATCAGACACGACCTGGAAGAGAAGCGGACGAGAGTTTCTGCATTTCACTGAGAGGTCACACCATGTTGTCTTCTTACCAGTGGATGATGCTTCTTCCATAATGAAGGAACCAAACTCTGGACTGTCTGGTACTCTACGGGAACCTCGGACACATGCAAGTCCACTTCACCTCCGAGTCCGAGCTTCTTCAGTTCCTGTCGGGACAAACAAAAATATTAAATAAAAGGGTATTATCCTAAACATCTTACAGTGGTGATTGTGACAACTAGTAAAGCTAGAAGAGATAAAACGCCTGCTATGAAACTGAAGTAGATAACATTGATGACTATACCTTTTTGGTAGAATTCGTACTTTTTTTAAGTTGCTTTTCCCCCTTCTCTAATTGTGCATTCATTTGATGAATTGACATTGCTTACTGCTCTCTTTGCCTTTTCCCTTATCAATTACACCTATTGCTCACTTAAAATATGTCCAAAGATTAGCCTTATTATCATAAGTTTACGAAATACCTTCAATCGCAAAAACTTAAAATTCATCCAAATCCTGTGAGTATGTACACATTTTATCCAGACTGCAGCTGGACTTATCAACAAGGCCCTAACTGACTCCTCACCCTGTTTTGCAGCACTTGTTTTTCTCTCATTCGCCAGTGGCCGGACACCTCCCCCAGTCCCCTGCGGACACTGACCCCCACTTGTATTGAAAAGAGGCCTGTTTGACCACGTCCGTGACCCCGCCACAAAGCACCCTTTTGTTTGCCTTTTAATATTTAATATCCTTATCAAGTTCGTCTAGACACCCTGACAACCGTCATCCCCCCACATGCACTTTCCCAGGAGGACACAGAGAGTGTCCGACACGACTATCGGAGCACCACGTGAACGCCATAAAAAATGGCTCGACGTGAGAAAATCAATTGGAAAAAATGGCAAACATTAATTAACACTTTGACGTGAACACTGTTTATGTAGATCATAAATACAATGAGCTCTATTACTGTGCCACTATCAAGAGGGGAAGAATAGTAATATTTAAAAACAACGCAGATATAATAAATACATGCATTAGAAAAAACAACACACCTGTACTGCTACCCAGCTGGCGTTGACCGCGTGCTCACCAAATGGCCCAAAACCTGTCAAACGAGGGGGGGGATTATTTTGGTGCATTTAAATGATGTAAACAACTATGGAGACTGTTTAACTTCAACACATGATGACATAAATATGCATTTTCACCAACAGAAATGAACCCTGTTCGTTAATTCGACATGAACGGATTGCTCTTGTATTTCTGCTTAGACATCTACTAATAAAACAAATAAAAAACACTTAATTCTTGAGATATTGAATATGGACTTGTACAGACACGAACCCTCCTAAACACTACATTTCCTGAAAACTCCTATAAAACAAATGTAAATGTCTACAGTAGTGCAGCATGGTGTTATCCTTGAATTACCACATTAAAATCAATCACTTCTCCCAAAAAGTCCCCCCATGCTTCGCTCTATGTGACCAATAACATTGCAAGCGGCAGCCTGTGGACACTCACTCAGGCTTGTTTGTGTAGGGATCTATAAGCGATCCCCTTCCACCACCCTACCAAGGGTCAGTGGGTCCCTGGGGGTTGGGTGGAGGGGGGATCAGTCTGTCTGACAGGCTGCTGAAAAGGAGCCGGCAGCTGCCAGCCGGCTCGCTATTGTGAAGGAGCTGTTCCCAGGCAATCTACACATCTCCCATCGGCTGGGACCGCAGGCTCCTGCACCCCTTTGTGTCTGAATAGGCACGGCTTCTGTTATCCTCCACAGATTCACGGTTAAAGCCCGTAGATTGTGCGATAACAAAAAGGGTTTTATTCAAGAGGCTTCAATTGAAGTTACAATTGATCGTGTTTTTCTGATTTAGTTAAATTGTGTTTCCTAAAATGGAATGCGTAGGATCATTGGGAGACAACTGGAGATACTATCATATTATAGTGGGAAACCATTTCGATTAAATCAGAAATAAAATGGAAAGTGGAAACCAAAATAGTAACCGTAGGATAAATACTGGAAAACAACCATTGGTCTGTTTGAATGTTTTTTCTTCTCTTTTTACTACTTTTCCCAGTTATGCGTTGACACCACGTTGACGGAGGCCTGCTGATGAGAATAAGTCCAACTATTGTGAAACTCACAATCCAAAGCTGTGCAGAAGAAACACTCAGACACTCCTTCTTTGACAGAAAACCTTGAAAATGATAACATTTCACAAACAAAACAAACACAAAAGATAACTTTTATTGTATTCCACCATTGACGTGTTAATGATAATGATAAGCTGTAGTCCATTGAATGATGGTGTGTATGTATTCATGGTTGAACGTCTCGCTCATTTCGTTTGACGTGGCCTTTTGAAGAAATCAACCCACACAAATATAAATTTCCCCCAGTTTGTCAGTAGAGGTTATCATATAACAATTGAAGAAATACGTGAACATCACTGATATTACTTTGTTACTACAAAATGTAAGCAACACGTTTAACTGTGCGCGATCCCGCGGAGTGGAGCAGTGGGAGCCTGACGCCATTAACGTTAGCAGCTGTCATGCCCACAACTTTTCCTCCACTTCGCCCCAATGTTCACTTCGCCGACAGAGATGAGCAGTACAAGATTGAGAAGAAGACGAACCTGTAACGACCACTGTCCGCTTGCTGTTGTCCATCTCCGGTCCTGTAGCAGAGGTCGCGTTGCCTTCTTTCCGGTCTTTATTTTTGAAGCAGGACCGTAAAGAGAGTCAGTCGCCTCCACAGCTGAAGGCTCCGTCTGCCACACAAAAATAAAGGCTTGCCCTGCTCGGCTGCACGCTGCGTCAGACGTGACGTCATCCCGTCCGCGACGGGACGCTCGGGTGACGCAACGAACAAATAAATAAATAAGGTGTGAAATAATCCAAGCGAAATTTGACGACATATAGACGAAGGTTTTACATTTATTTAGGAAGAAACAAAATAATGTGAGAAATAATACATATATATACAGTATGATAAAATGAATGAAGGACAACATGAATCTTGACCAAAAATGACCACGATTACAGGATTTTTACATTTGCCAGAACAGTGTAAAATATGTACACTGTAAACAATGTAAACAATTGAATATGGCATGGTAACAATAACATCAATAAATGCAGTGACTACTTCTTGCCTGAAGGGGCAGCATATTTTATTCCAGCCATGATTAACGTCACACACCGCACAGCCGGAAGTTCATCAGTAGAGGACGAAGAAGAATACAAGCGCTAACGTAAAGTAAAATCCTAATCGTGTCGATAAAGTGTCAAAAGAGCCAGTCAGACACCAAATAAGACACAACTAATTACACAATGGTAAGTATATAACTTCGGTGTTCAAATGAAAGGAACACAGTCGTCAGAGTTCTTGCACGCTTGGTACTTTGCTAAAGCTAACGGTGTTAGCAGCTCTGGCGCCGCGCTACGTGGTGCTCGGTGTGCTAGCTAGCTAACGTTAAGTTAAAGAAGCGTAACGTTAATGTTGCTGTAATGTTAGTTTATTTTTAGCGAGTTAGCCGTAGCCTGTGAGCCACACTAACGTTGCATATTGTTGGATAGTGCATTCTAACCCATTTCTCATTTTCCGCGTATGCACCGTTTGTACTGACAGTCGCGTTGTAATTATTATTAATGGAACGTGAAAACATAACGTCTAGTCACCTGTTCTTCTGTCATTTTGCAGCTTCCACTATCTCTGCTGAAGACCGCCCAGAACCACCCTATGGTGAGGAGATACTTAACTACTTCAAGGACTTATGTTAGCATTTTAGATCAGCGACTTGACTTTACATTACTTTAATCTCTCCTGAGGAGCTTTTTGTTCTTCAGGGTCACTTTTGGTATCTTTGTTGTCTCTTCAGCAATGTCTTCCTTGCCTGTCACAAGTATTGGTCCTGTTGTTTGTTGGTTGTCTCCTGGAAGGTTTGTTCTGGGGCCATATTCTCTAATCTCCATAATCTCACATTTTGTAATGGATTTAACATGAACCATGTTTTTTTTATTGTATTTTTTTATAACGTCACCCTGAATTTTGCCCTGACCTTTAAAGTAAGGGCTAGCACCTGATTTTAAGTGCAGGTTTAATGGCCAAGCGGGTGATGATCGTTGCACTCAACTCTTTTCAGTTATTTCATTTATTCATTTTGTGTGAGTCCACTACATATAAGTCGGAATAGAAATCCATTTAATTTCTGATATTAGATTTCATTGGCTGAATTTTCTTTTGCAATCTGGTGGCTCATAATCGCAGTGCTTTGTTTATTGGTTTATAAAATGAAGCTAAAATGTCCCCTAGCATGCTTCAGCCATCTTGTATTGTGTTGGTTTTGTATCCTCAAAGTTCTAAAAGCGGCTAGCTGTTTTTTTTTGCCCTTTCCCCTCAGCTGGTTGAGTTAAAGAATGGGGAGACGTACAACGGTCACCTGGTGAGCTGTGACAACTGGATGAACATCAACCTGAGAGAAGTCATTTGCACTTCAAGGGTAAATCTGAGTTCTGTTCTCACTTCTGTGCTCACTGAAACTGTAGATGCCGATGTTCTTTTGTTAGGGAAGCAAAAGTAGATGTCTCTATGGTCCAGTGTTTACTTGTAGATTTCACTGTTGGGGTCGTTTTTGGCCAATCATTACACAAGCCTTTATCACTCCAAAGTACACTAATTTAAGATGTTATGGTTTTGCCTAATAATTATTAGAGATAAGAAAGAAACAAAACAAATGAAAAAAACAACCACATCACAGTAGCAAAGAAATGCATCTTCGCTTCTACAACTGTAGACTGAAGCTTTCTGTGCCCAACTTATACTTACACGATGCTTCAATTAGTTGGATGTCAAAATATTACGTTATGATTGCGCTGACACTACTACTCCTGTTCACAGGATGGCGATAAGTTCTGGAGAATGCCAGAGTGCTACATCAGAGGAAGCACCATCAAGTACTTGCGAATCCCTGATGAGATTATTGACATGGTGAAGGAGGAGGTGGTGTCAAAGGGTCGTGGACGCGGAGGCCCCCAGCAGAACAAACAGCAGGGCAAAGGAGGAAGAGGAGGAGGAGCTAGCCGAGGTGAATGGAAGCACTCATTGTTTGTCTGTGCTTGCGGTCCTAATAGAAGTATTTGCATGAGTGTCTTTGGTTGCTTCCAAATTCATTTAGCTGACGCTTTTATCCAAAGCCACTTACAGTAAGTGCTTGCAACCATAGGGATGCAAACTCAGAATAGTAAGAAACAGAGTGCAATTTCCTCAAATAAGCCAATTTTAAATTTGCTATAGATAAATGGCGTTATAAGTACAATTTAAGTGCTACAATTTGTTAGGCTTTTAGTCGAGGTAGACTCTTTGCTCTGCCATCCTCAAGAGCATAAAATATTTTACTTAAACATTAGTAAAGAGCTCAGGATTACATTTTGGGGGTTTTTGGAGCGCAATACCCCAGTTCCTGAATTTTTTGAAGAATAATTCTTACTCAGTTGACAAAATGAACAAACGTTTGTTTTTTCTTTCCTTTCCCCCACGCAGGCCTGTTTGGCGGGCGTGGTAGAGGAATGACTGGTCCCAGTCGAGGTCAACAGCAGCAGCTTCAGCTGCAGCCGCAGGATAAGAAACAAGGCAAACCACAGGGAATGAAAAACCAGCACTAATGGAAGACATTACGCCTTCAACATCCTGTAATTCAGAGCAATTTCTCCTTCAGTATACGAAGATAAAGCTAACTCTCCCTTCTGCTCTGCATGTCCACACTGACTATAGCAGAAATCACAATGAGAGGCGTCACGAGAAGCTGTGCTTTTGCTGATTTTCCTTTTAGCTTCTGTAAGTTGTTTTTTTAGTAGGACCATGCACAGCTGACAGACTCCTTCGTTACTATCTGCTGACGTGTTATTACAACTTTGCAGGAACATTTTGGCCCATAACACTCATTACACCAGCTAAAAACAGTTGGTGCACTGGAATGAGTTTTTTTATTTAGTTTTTTTGGCCACTTGACTCCTTGTGTGTAGTTTTCACAGAAAATAATTTGCCATGTCCCAACTTCTGTTGCTTCCATATATTTTTTTAACTTGTTCTAAATTTTCGTTCTGTTTGCAACGTTCTGTAGTTTGTCTGCTTGCCGCTTGGTCCGATCACGGCAGGTGGGCCAGCAGCCTGGCTGTTAAAGGGGAAGAGAAAGAGAATTCAGTCCCTGAACACTTTTGTTGAAGTTTTTGTAAGATGCCACATTATGATCATACGGCTTTCCAGAAAAAAAAAATTCTCTAAGTCTAATTGAGAAGTCTTTTGGTTTGTCTTGTTGGTTGGGCATTTTCTTCTTTCTTTTTTTCCCCAACAAAATATGTAATTTATTTACATGAGAATTAAAGAACTTTTTGTTAGAGTTGTCTTATTTATTGGTGCTCCCGTCTATTTGTTCTGTGTCAAAACGATCACTCACACTGTTTCACTTGTTCATTCTCTTGGATAAGTGTTATTTAAATGTAATAATTGTTGATTTAAAGCCAGCATCAGCTTGTTGGTTGGATCTTTAAGAGAAAATAACTGGAATTATTAGTAATGGTTTACAATGACAATGCTTTATGATAATGACCAAGGTTAGCAACCACTAGGTGGCAATATCAATGTATCTTAAAATAATGCAATAGCAAGTTAAAGTCACAACGATATCTTCTCTTTTCCCTTTATTGACCTACTTTCCTTACTGGGTTCAATGTTTTCTCTTACGTTGTCACACTGGAAATAATCGTGCAGTGAAATGATATAAGCTACTTTATCATAGATGACGACACTCAATAGTTCCCATTTATGATTTGGGCCTGTGTAACACGTTTACACTACTAGAATTCAGGACGAAACAACATCAACCAATCTGTAGTTGAATGGATTCTCAAAAAGATACCTTCCTTGTTCTTTAAAACAGGGCAAAGCAGGGAGGGTTTTAAACATAATTTGGAGAGATAGAGCAGAAAATGTATGCTGTAAAATAAATACATTTAAAAACTAAGGCTTTGACAAAGCAGCTTGCCGAAGGGTCCTATTTAATGGCGCTGAAATGAAACGTGGGGGGAATTTTTTCTCCTGAAATGCATGCATAATATTCAAATTGGCATTTGTGATAAAAATAACTCTGTTCTCCACTTTGCCTGAAGTATGTGCTAAAGAAACATGCAAAATCATATGATCTTATTGCTGGGCTGAATTGTGGATTGTGCGTGGTGTTTGTGTGTGTTGGTGTTGGGAGTGTGGGAGCTAATCTCCGCACCGATTGAGTCCTCCTCTCCTCTACCACCCACACATTTCTTCCACACACACACTGGCATAAACCATCGCGGCTGCCAGCCAATCACTATCTCTCTTCCTTCCTATTCCCTTTTACTGCGTCACTCTGCATGTGTTGCCATGGTGATCGTTAATGCTCCACCCACACCTTGTCTCTGCCTCTTTCAGTATGAAGATGAAGCCGACTGTGGGTTGATGATGCAGGCAGGCTGCACACGTCATCATTTCCCTCGGGAAGAAGGCCTATTTTTACCACTGGGCACAAAGAACACCACACTGCCGAGCATATTTATGGAACCGCATCTAATCACAGGCCGCCTGCAAAAACCTCTCTTCCCCACGCAGAGCATGTCTCTCTCCTTCTGCATTCATCCGTCTTAAGCCATAGAGGTATACTTTGAATTGAGATGGAAGCACTTGGGAAGGTTTCAAAACAGCTTGTTTTTTAAAATCTGCCTTTTAAAATCTGTGACGTGCAGCCAGAACTTTGCACCCAATCAAATAGCTTCTTGCTACTCGTGTGTAGTAAACACGTAAACTTAAGTGCATGTTGACTTAGTCACACAGATAACTGCTATGGCAGGCAAAACCCCATGGCCGTGTTTGCACTGTAATTACCAAACCACTTCAGTGAATCGCACACTGAGACCAGACCGAACGTTGCCTGTTGTGCCAGGAACAGGTGGTAGTGGGGAAAGTCAGCATGACAGTGCACAAAGGTTTCTTAATGGTCTTTTGAGAGAGAAAGCTGGAGCTGGGTTCCATTCCCATCAATATCATATCACACGTCATTTTTAGTTATTTCATACATCCTCAACAGGCTTCATCCCTACAACTTTGTTACTTTGTGGTCTTGATGTGATGAGACAGCCGTTAGAGGCACATTTTATGATCCGACTAATGTTACTACTATTGACTTTTTGTTATCAGCTGTTGGTTTGTAGTTGATTTGAATACAGTAAAAAAGACAGGTGGTACTCACTGCTACGAAAAGACAAATGCAGGCCAACATGACTAGCTCTGGGAAAGGTACTTTAAATGACTACCGTGTCATCACACAAGGGGAGGTTCAAATTCCCCAAAGTTCCATAGTACAGATGAGGTTCCTATGGGGAGCTAGCTGGGATAGCACCTGTTACAGACACCTGGAAGACACATTTGTTCCCTATTACTTTCTTGTGGGCCGTGTTCTCACCTCTCATTTAATAGACCTTGCATCCTCAAACCATCCACGATGCCCTCAGACTCAAACTCACATGTAAGTTTTGGACTACAGTAAAAAAAAAAAAGAGTTTGTTTTCCTTGAACTACGGAATCATGGAGTCAAGGAAAGATGTGAAGGAGTCATGAGTTAGGAAAAGATGATTGTGGTGCTTTATAAAAAATACACTTTGACTAAACTGCAAAAGTCTGCCATGGCAAAACTACAACAAAGAAGGAATAGCTAAAGCACAACTAAAACATGACCCCGTGCACTCTGTTCTACTGTTGCATGCAGGCTATTTAAAAAGTTTCATTTGTAAGTGGCTGCTTCACTACAGAGAGAAACCGTCCTTCCTTCCTGCTGCTGTCACGCAAAACAATCAACACTGCTTCCTTATAAGCTATTCCCTTGTTTGATATCAATAGAACTGTTTAATATTTCCTGTGTGCCATAGATGCAGCTGTTGTGTTACATTTAGTCTAACACGACAGCATATATATTCAGTATATATATTGTTTTTCACTCATGCTTCTTGTTATTGAGTTTTCAAATTTGTTTATGGATAGTTTGCTATATTTAGTAATCATTTCATTTTGTATTCTTGTTTCTTTACACATGTTAGAAGTCAATAAAAACAGAAAAAAGAAGAAAAAAAGGCATGTCAATGTCTATTCAGTTAATCCTTCACACCATTACTTTCTGAATGTATGAGTCTAATTGTTAAACCTGTCCAAGAAAAGCCTATAGGCGAATTTCCAGGGCAGCTGAATGGAACGTCACTTTAAATGCTGCCGTCACAAGGATTTGTCGGCCGGTATCATCTTTTTTTTTCTCTGGCAAGGAAGGGCCAGTGTTTCCAATGATAAAGGAGCTAAGAAAGGACACACTGAAGCCCCTTGGCGCCACTCAGATGGCTCCGGGTCGTCTCACTCACCTGTTCCTGCTTACCTGACCTGGCTCAGCTAGAAACACCTGTTTTCACTTTCCTTCATCATCTAGTTTGTGGAAGTTGCCCTGTGTGTTTTCCATGAGCTTTCTGGCGTGTTCAGCCTGTCGGTGACCTGAAACCTTGGATTCTGTATATAGCTATGTGTGGAAACATGGCCTCATTTATATAAAGGGTTTATTTGTATAAACAGCATACGAAGCAAAAATGCTTAATATGTTTTCTGGTTCCACCTAAAGGGTGAGAGCTGCTTTTTATTTTCAGTATAAATTGAACACCTTTGACAAAGCAATGAATTGAAAACTTTTCTCGTTACTGCAAATATACCGAAATATATACATTTTTCAAACTCAAGTGAAAATGTTTATATAGGCCAATATGAAATGATATCACATAAAATCAGAAGTGGACATTACAGGCACTCAGCATTCACTTCGTAGCCATTATTTCTAAGAAGAAATGGTCCCCAAAAAGTAAATGTTTAATTAAAATGGAGAAAGATTCAATATTCAAAGGTCTGGTAATGAGTCCACAGAATGGATCCAGTACAATTAGTCAAATATCAGTTCTTCCTAAATGGTAACAGAGCGTGAAGATAAAAGCTTGTAAACATCTGTGGAGGCGGCCGCTTAAATCTACGTCATAGCAAATCATGTGACTTGCATGTGTTCAAACTGTGGGACGAAACCTATGCCTTTTAAAAATGGAAAACAGCAAAATACACAAAGGATCAAGACCAATAATTTTAAACTCATATATCTCCTTCTGTTGGGTGTTTGCACCAACCGCTGAGCCGCGGTGCCGCCCAGCTGCAGCAGAGTTTCTGTTCGGATGTGGCAGACGTTGGTTTCAATAATCTTTGAACACATTCCAGAACACAAAAGGCTTAAACTTTGACGATCAAATTCCTCTCTGTGTGGTAATTTTTAACATTAAATACCAAACAATCGGCTTTATGGAGAGTTAGAAGATATTTCCACAAGAAGTGATTTACATTTGATGTGTCATTGTCAAAATGTGAAAATAGATAGAAACTTCCATTTGAGGTTATTGAAGCTCATTTCTCAACACTTCTGTCTTTACTTCTGTACATCACAATCATTTTACACTGGGGAATATTATTATTGGGTTGTTAGAGCCGCAAAATAAGAATAAATATAAACATATTTTCAAAAGACAAATAAAAATATTTAAAGAAATAATAGAAATGGCTCGCAGGCTGTTTCAAACTCAGCAACACACTTCTGTCACAAGACAGAATTTGAGCTCAGTAAGGATGCAGATAAAGAACCAATAGATGTAGAGGTAGCAAATGAATTCAACTGTTTAGGTCTTTGTGTGAAGACTTTAAAAGTCAAATATCAGGCAATATTGGAGTGCAATATTCCAGTATGATAATTGTGTTCCATGTGTAACACGTTATGGAAAAAAAATATATATATAAATCAAATAAGCTATCTCTGATGCTTTTGTCTCTTTCACTGCAACAGCTCATGTTTAACCATGAAACCGTGTAGGCCTACTGAGGTTTGTGGACACGAGTGTGTGTTTTACACAAACCAACATTATGCACAATTTGTGTGCATTCCTACGTCATCCATGAATGTGGAACTAGAAACTACGTCAGCTGGTGGAGTTGGTTAGTAGAGCATGTACATGTGTAGCCGTCCCACGCTTGGTACTTACCTTGATTACTATTCATGCTGGATTCATGAGGACACAACTCCACCCTCCCTGCAAAAGCAGGCAAATATTCAACCACAAAACACCTTTGAGGTATTATACAATCTGACCTTTCCTTCAATTGAAATGTAACAATTCACATTTGGGTATTGAATGTTAATTAAAGTGACAGTTGGGCCTTTCTTGAAAAAGACGCTGCTGTTTGGCGCTTTGAGGTCCACAGGCCGAATGCCGTATAGTCACGAGGAGGCAAACATCTCAACACGTGATACCTCCAAAGCTAGGCAACTCCCATCAAAACAATGTTAGAGGAAAAGATGAGTAATGTTTAATATAAGGTTTACTGACCCTTTAAGGCTACTTAGTGTTTTAAGAGCTTCTTAACAGTTAAATTGCAGTTTGGGGGAAATGAGGAGTGTGTATGAGACCTGATAGGTTCACATGTTTAAAGAAGACGTTCAGTCAGACCACTTGAGTGAGAAAATCAAGTTTTTCAGTCCCCTCATTTGAAGGGTGCTGTACTTCAAGATCAAGATGGTATATGTATATTTAATAGGTGTTCATGTTCTCCGGGTCTCAGCGTGGATTCTCTCAGAGATCAGAGAAATGCAGCATCAGTGAGTTGATGACTCCGGCCCCTCTCTCACATATGTGTTTGGGTGGTTCAATACCTGTCTGCACTTGTGTAGACCTACTACGCTCTCTCTTGTGTGACGTCACTGTCTGCTGTCGGGTGGTCTGGTTGGTTTCCACACCTCTTTGGTCCAAAGGGAAACCTACTGACAGAATTCAGCTCACACAGTCAAGCTCCACAGAGGATGAGTCCTGATGAGTTGTTGATCCCTGACTTTCCATCAGTAGTGCCAGGAGCAGGTCAAATGTCACCCATATCAAATGAAATATCTCTGTTGCTCAAAGGGTTAGTGGAATTGCAATCACATTCAAGTTCAAAAGTGCATTTTTCAATTTCAATTTGAACAGAATATTCTTTGATTTTACTAATTGACAATAACACAGATTATGTCAAATTGCATTGATGTGTATATAATTGTGAGGAAATGGTTTTATCTTGCATTAACATCAAGCAAAACAATAACAAATTAATTTGAAATTCAGTGTCATGAAACAAGGTTGTTGTTTAACTCTTTTTAAATGCATTTTTTCAACATTGTTTGATGGTGTTGTATAAACGAAAGACAAAGGGAAATGGCGGTGTGTGAGTTTTTGTCTTACATCCTTTTCCAGCTACCCCCTGCCCTTTTCTTTTCTTTTCTTGACTGCAGGCTCAGCACCCCCACTCTCTCTACACTCAGCTCAGACAAAAATATCTCTCCTCTGTTGGTTTACACCCCCCGCTTCATTTCCGCTACAATGTTCAGAGATCTGACATCACAGGGTCCATCATGTGATCCACCCACAGAGCGCTTTGCAAGGAAAGGATGGGGCCTACCTGTGACGCACACACCTCCTCTGTGTAACCCTTTAAAAGTTGACTGAACCCTGATTGGTAACGAAGGCAATGATTTGGTCACGTCAGGGTTTTTTCCGGCGAAGACGAAAACCCAGAAGCATGCAGTCAAACGTGCACATGGCACATAGAAAGTATTAGTTCAATCTACGACAACTTTGTGTGTATTTGTAGGACACAATAGTGTCTATACAAATATTGTGTTTATTGGAGTCGGAACTGTAAGTATGAACTGACACAATATTGCCTTCTTAGTGGCAGGAGGGAAAGTCTGGAAAACAACCAAATGTGTCGACCATGAAAAAACAGTTTCCAATATGAGAACTGCAAACCACACTGGCACACAAGATTTACATGCCGTTTGTTTCATTTTTAAAGAAATCCACCTCAAACAGTTGTTGATTTAGACATTACAATTTGGTTTCAAAATGTAAATTTGAAAAAAGAATGTAAAGTGAAATGGGAAAACTTTGAAAATGAAAATGAAATCATCATGTGACTCTTTCATAGGACGGGTGCGTGAGAGCTGATCCAACTTCATTGGAGCAAATGTTGAAATCCGATCAGTTTCAGGTTCAACTTCTGTAAATCATGTTGTGCAGGAATACAACACGTGTGTAGCTGAGGGCATAATAGAGAAGTAAGCCTTTTTCTGAGGAGACATCCACAACTGTTCATGTCTTGCGCAATATTATATTGATAGATATCTTGCAGTTTAGAAATTAGTTTAAATGCAATTTTAAAAAAAGAATGAGAACATGCTTCCCAATTCTGAAAATTCAAGTTTCATAACAATGAACCACTAACATAAACCACTTAAGGTTTTAAAGTTTTGGACTGAATCCTGGGCTAAAAATCACAATGTATGTTTGTCAGTGTTGTTTTTTGAGTTGACTTTGTGAGTGATGGAACAAAAGGGGTTATCCGATTGTGTTATCCCTGTGCTAAATGTTGCAGTTTTGGGGAAAAACCCACAAAAACAATCTCTCAGCTTGTGGTTAAAAAGGAGAATCAAGCTTCCTTTCGATGGACAAAAAACCACATACTGTGAGAAGACATTGAATGGTCACATGGACTTCCTGGAAAACAATGGCATTGATTCCCAAACACACTATTTGTGTTAAAGAGCCCACACACTCTCGTTACATTACATACGCACAGGTATTTCCCGGCATGTTGCCCTTGACTTTTGGACCAATCAGACAAATTGATTGATGTCTCTTTTACCCCTTTTACTAGGACCTTGAAGGCAAGGACAACTTAAACCTTGAATATATAGCTCAGCCCAACTTCTACCTGACCGGAAGTCTATGAGGCGGAACACTTAAAGTACAAACCATACGCATTATTTCTATATTGATTAGTTAGCTTTTCTGAAGTTATAGCTAATATGTTTGTAGGATAAACTAATAAAATGCTAGATGTGACTTCATACAGACTATCAGAAAATGAAACAAATAAATTAATAGAAATCCAGTAGTAAAAATCGAAACCCTTTATCCTAAATAATAATATACACAGTGTCATATCAATGCATCACATTTTCAAAAAGATGGCTAATGAGACTGTGGATCAGGAGTAACACTACAGTCTCCACCCATAAGAGACTATTTCTATTTCGGTACCACAATGCAGAGAGGAGTGAAACCTCCCTCCCGCCCCCCGCTCTCTGCTCGATTTACCACATTAATTTAATAATATATAAAACAAACAAAAAAATCTCGCAAACACAATTTCCGCCCAGTGCGCGCGCGCCGCGGTGACATAATGGAACGTGCCAGTCTAGAAAAGGCTCGCGGCGGCTCGCGCGCGCGCGCATTTCACTCCGGTCCCGCAGGAGAACAGCCGACTACGTCCCCGCCAAAGTCCTCGACATCATACATTTATCAATTCATCTGTTTTTTTTTCTCCAACCAGGTGTTTTATTCCGTCCCTCCCTTGGAGGTTATGGGCGAGGCGCCGCTGTGAGGCAAGTGCCGCGTATAGTTACGACTCTTCGTCTCTATTCACGGGGAGAATGATGAAGAAGGACGTTGGCTTGAGCCTGGCGGACGACGACGCAGACCTCAAGCCGCATCTCCGCGACGCCGACAGCCTCCTCGGCTCCCCGGACCTGGGGCTGCTCAAACTGGCCTCCCCGGAGCTGGAGAGGCTCATCGTCCAGTCCAACGGGATGGTCACGACCACCCCGACGAGCCCCCAGTTCCTCTACCCGAAGGCGGTGACGGACGAGCAGGAGTTCGCGGAGGGCTTCGTGAAGGCGCTGGAGGATCTGCACAAGCAGAACCAGCTGAGCGGAGCCGGGCAGGCGGACTTGGAGCTGGGCGTCAATGTGGCCGCGGTCACCGCCGCGGCGGACCTGCCGGTGTACACCAACCTGCACGGCTACGGTGTCCTGGAAGACACCGTCAACTACTCCACGGACGCGTTCCCGCCGCCGCCGCCGCCGGAGCATCACTTGCCGCCGGAGCTGTCGCGCCTCCCGCCGCTGAAGGAAGAGCCGCAGACGGTCCCCGACGTGCAGAGCTTCGGCGAGAGCCCCCCGCTGTCCCCCATCGACGTCGACTCGCCCGGAGGACACGAAGGCCGAGAGAAAGAGACTGAGGAACCGGATCGCGGCGTCCAAGTGTCGGATGCGGAAGCTGGAGCGCATCTCCAGGCTGGAGGACAAGGTCAAGTCGCTGAAGAGCCACAACACCGACCCTGGGCTCCACGGCGAGCCCTGCTGCGGGACCAGGGTGGCGCAGCTGAAGCAGAAAGTGCTCAACCACGTCAACAGCGGCTGCCAGGTGCTGCCGCACGAGGTTCAGGTGCACTAGTCCGGGGAGCGGACCTGACGGCGGGCCGCTGACCAGCATATAAGCTCCATGGACTCTGTCTCTGTGTGTGTGTGTGTGTGTGTGTGTGTGTGTGTGTGTGTGTGTGTGTGTGTGTGTGTGGGTGGTCAGGCCCACACAGGCTAAATTGTACATACATGATTGAGCGTTCAAATGATTTTGAGCATCAGTAATAGACCAAAAACACAAAATGAAGATGACGAGACTTTTGTTGGACAATATAAGTGGGGAGGAATTTTCCGGGATCTCACTGGCCCACACGCGCCTATCGTGATTTATTGCGTCGATGGCGTTTTCCTGTTGAGTTAGTTTGATGAGATCCTGTTCTTCCTCGTACGTGTGTGCGTGCTGGTGAACGAGGCAGCTTTAAACTGCAGGGTTTCCTCAATGGAATTTGGCTGTGGGCTTTTGCTGATGAAAGAAAAGCTCAACCAAAAGCACTCAATTCTACTTCTTTTCCATGTAAAAACGTTTACAGATTGGTCTCAAACCTGGGGGTCAACACATTTACAACACTTCTACAGTAATATGAACAGGCGTTACATTTGAAATGTAAATGATAACTCACATATATGGACCGTTTACCACTTAGTAGGGAAAATTCTTGAATGTTGCCCACAACAAAGGGTCCAACTATTTAGTGTGTCCCTATTTGAACGTATTCTTGTTTTAATGTGAAAAGTTGTAATTCTTTGTTGCACTGACTATTGCTGTCACCTTTAGCCTGCAGGTGTTTGGATTCATGCCTCTGTGTTCTGAAGTAAATGGTGCCCAGCAATTAACATTGTTTTCTTCATTTTGGAAAAAAACTCTGCATGCATGTTGGTAAAATCATTGGTTTAAGTCAGTGAACCAGGTGTTGATGGTGGATGGGCCTCGAGGTCCTTTGAAGGCCGTCCACACTGTAACCGTTCGTTTTTAGATTATGTTTCATAAAGATATTCAACTCACTGGGTTCACTGAGAAATCTTTTTAATTTTTTTTAATTACACATTATTATATACATCAATACAACATATTTTTACCTGGATTGACTTTCATCATGTTCAAAAGAAGTCCATTTGTGGATCTGATGGAGTCAGTGTTGTATAATAACCAGGATTTATGAGGCGAGTGAAGAAATAGACATCTCATCGTCGCCCAGGAGCCTTTCCCCCTCTGCTGGTTCAATGAGGAGTTGCGAATGGTGCCGACCTCACAGCCGGTGGAAATGGCAGTAGTTGCAGGATGTCTACGGCAACGTTGGGATCCGTTTGATTGCATATAGAAGTGTGTGTGTGTTTGGATAATGAATGTGTATTATATGACTAATTTATTCTAGTTTCATTGATCTCATCAGATCTCATTATCAAATGCATATGTCTATTTGACAAAATCTCTGCAGAGGTCTTTCAAAAGAGTCAGACAAACCGTAAATACAAATGATTTCCTCCTCTTTGTTAAACGTTATGTAGTGCCCTCCACGTAAGATGAGCAAGAGACACCGGACCAAAGTTTAACAACATTAGGAAAATAAAAACCTGCAAAATTGACTTTCCTTTGCTATTTTTATTTCATAATTGGCTGACCTGTTTGAGAGCCAATCCTATACAGTATTTATATAGCATATATTCCAACGGGAGATTTACATCATAAATGTGCAAAGGTACAAAATCATTCAAGAATCAACTGCTTGTTAGTAATTCCGTTTATTGTTTTACCACAAAGTACAATTAAAAACATCCACAGCATTTCCTCTCCTCGTAATGGCCCAAACTGAGGAGCAAGTGTAGAGGCAGTGACACGAGACCATAAAGTACATGTTCCTGCGTGCTAGTAGAAGATCTAAAGTCGGCAACTTCTACCAAGCTTGATGGCATTTCTTTTCAGTGAAGAGACTGTGGTGTGTATTGCTTTTGTAACAGAGTGACACATTCATTCACAAGCAGGCCTAGTAATGAATGCAGATGCAGTACAACGGGGCTCTTTTAGGGGAAGGTTTCAGGTCTTTACTGCGCTTTTTTTCTTCTTCGATACAACACAATCCACACGTTTGACTCGAAGAAACAGTATTTACAATTCTGGTTTATATAGAGAGGAAGACATATAGGAAAGGAGAACAGCTCAATAGTCACAACCAGTAAGAAGTAAAATACACTCAGGATCAAAATGAGCTCTCAGGTTTGTCATAATCACTCCTTTTCTTATAATAATCAGTTTTCTAACAATGGTCTCATCTTTTCAAACTTGAGTGAGTGGCCCATCCGATCTCGGGTTTGTGTGCCATTCATATACTCTCAAAATAAATAGTTTCTCAATCCAATTTGCTTTGATCACACAGAATAAGACTCCATAATGATACGGTGGTAAAGTGCTTTACACTATCCTCTCTCTTGTCATCTGTTTTATTACAGTTTTAAACTTTGCCACACTGCTTAATGTGGCGTCAACTACCAAAACAGTGAGCCTCCTCTACAGCAATCTTTGGCAAATGGAAAAGAAGGAGCACCCAGCAGACCAGTTATAACTTGGGACACTGTATTAAGACAGGAAAACAAATGCATTCAGGCTTTGCCTAGACCTAGTGAAACTATGTATACTCAAAAAACAGCTGTTAGTTGATATGTTACGTTGGAACCAAGAACACCTCTGAACCAAATGTTTAATTCCAGCATTGACTTGAAACAAGTGTTAAAAACCAGCATTAAACAGCCTCCATGTCCATACTGCACCTGAAGACCGAGACAATAGCCTACACAGACAAACCGACTCTAATACTGATTCTGAGGGAGTTACTTGCCTACTGTTGGGCTGTTTGTCGCTAGGCAACGAAACACCAAATCGCTGAGTGTTGGTGGTACAGCACACATTGTCCTTTTCTCTCCTGATGTGTCCTTTCAGTCTCAAGGGTCAAATATCAGATCAAGGCAAAATGACGTAAAAATCCTCAAGCAAAACAATATGTTTGCACCTTCCAAACCGGTTCCATCACGTCCTAGAAGATGAGGACCTTTTACACGAAACGTTTCTATTTCATAAGCACAAACTGTACACAGTAAATGCTTTTCAGATGCCCTTAAATTAGTTGGAATCCACAGAGTGGATTTGAAAGATGAAAAAACATGTTGGTAATTTTGTAACATCTAGATTAAACTACATAACTGTATTTTCTAAGCACAGTTTGGATTTCTGACATCTCTGAAGGGCAGCATAGGACAAAACCGACAGGGAAATGAAACAACTCATGGAGGAGCTCGCGAGGATTAAAAACAATTCCACACATCATCCAAACAAACCCAAACAAACCCAACAACATGGATGTCTTATATTTGATACTGTCCTCATAGAACTTCATCATTTTAAAATGAATTCAAAGGAATGCATACCTGTAGATATTATATATATATATACACATATATATGTATATATATATACACACATATATATATATATATATATATATATATATATACACATATATATATATATGTGTGTATATATATACATATATAGGTGTATTTCTATATATATATTGCACAACATTTATATGTACATTTTAAATAAATATAATTAAATAAAAGTTGTCTCTAAATAAAAATTTTGCTACTTTTACGTAGCTCTATCTAGTTCATATTTCCCACACCCAGAATTGAAAGAATAAAGGGAGCATTATAATAAAAAAACATGTAAAAAAAAGGCCAAATGAAAATGCTCAGATGTTAATGAAAACCAAACACTTGATAACACCTGAACCATCCATGTTTAGATACCAGACAACGTATGAAACACAGATCCATGTATGTTGGATTCCGTCCTATTCTAAATCCTAAACGAAACAAAGTTAGTTTGGAACAGACTTCACCAGGATCAGCCCTGCCAAGTTAACTCCTCTGTGGTCTTCCTCGACACCGTATCCAAGGCTGACGTCGTCGTGAAGACATTTGACTGACATGAAACCGAGTACTGTAAACATCGGAAGGATTTAAATGGCACTCTCAGGACAAATGCCGTCAAATCCTTTCTGTGAAAACCACACTGAGGAACCAGGAGACAACAAATGATGGGTCGGGGACCTTCAGAAACCTGGTTCACAAAGAGCCTGAAACACATTTAGCTCTCTTGTGAGAGCATTTCAGACCCTTTTCAACCCGGCTCTGGTGCCCCTCAGTCAACCATACTGGGTTACAGAAAGAAGCAGGAAAGTGAGTGTAAGGGTGATGGGAGCATTTGACCCGAGGCCCTGGGGTCCAGCTGAGGGATGGCAAAGAGCAAGAGGGAGAAAAAGGGGTTTGAGGGGGGGGGGTCAGATTTAACATGCACAGTCCTGGTGAGGCGGAGCTGGCTGCTCTGTCAGCTGGGGCCCCTGTTTGGCCCCTGTGACGGCGGGATCTCCGGCGTCCAGGCTCTCCGACATCTTTTCGCAGATGATGTCCACCAGGCGCTCAAAGGTCTGCTTCACGTTGATGTTGTCCTTGGCGCTGGCCTCGAAGAACTCGAAACCTGACGAGGAAACAGGGTTGTGGGAGGAGGTCAGAGGGAGTTTATTGAGGATGTGGTCCTCGCCGCAACTGCATAATATTAATGTGTGGCGAAGTAGCTCAGGGCGCAGCTGGTAAAAAGCAGCTGCGACCACGCTAACAGCTTCTTATCCAGGTCGGCATGTTCCTAAAAATCCGTGGTTCTAAAACGATTCATCTCAATCACTCTGGTGAACCCCTGACTAGTGAGACCTTTCCGCCAGTCCGTTGAATCATTTACCACGCAGCGAGTCGCAGAGGAGTGCGTATCACTCACCGAGGTGCTCAGACAGCTGCCGGCCTCTATTTCGACACACTCGCTCGTCCTCATGTCGCACTGTTCCCGACCAGCAGCACCTGGGCGTTGTCCCACGAGTATGTCTTGATCTGAGTCGACCTGGGAACCCAACACACCGTCGGCAGTGAGGGAGGAAGCTGAGATCACGGCGCAGGCTGAATGTGTCCCGAAGCGGGTTTTTTCAGTCAGTAGGCCACACGGGGTCTCGAAAACCAAGTCGTTGGTCACATTAATTTGAGCATAGTTGCAAAATCAGAGTGTGATTAATATCATCAAGCTGTAAAAATGAAACCTATTTTTTAACATATTGTAATAAGATATTTCTTGAAGGTCAAATTAAAAGACACACAGGCCCCGGGAGTGTAACTGTGTAACTGTAACTTGAAAGGGATCAAGTGCTCAGTCCATTTATCTGCAGTATCTCCTTATCTATTTCCTGACTGGCTATCCCACCTACTCCATCCTCAACGCAGGACTCCCTCCCACAGGTAAAACTCAATGGTATCACTTCACACTACATTAATACAACGCCCCCTTCTAAGCCAAACACGTACCAGTCCTGGACGGCACTGAAGGACTCCTCGTTGGTGATGTCGTACATGAGGATGAAGCCCATGGCTCCCCGGTAGTAGGCTGTGGTGATGGTGCGGTAACGCTCCTGCCCCGCCGTGTCCTGGGAAGAAAATAAACACAGCAGCAGCAAGCTTTTATTAAATCGCACAGAATCCTTTTCAGTGTGATTTCCGACCGACTGCTCGGGATAAACTTTTAAGTGCTTGCTGCTTCTCTCCAACACAGACAATAATTCTCTAGTTTTTTATTCTAAAGTTGAAAACTTGAAAACAGAGACATGACACAGATTGAGATAATGTTAACCGTGTGTACATTATTCAAATGAAATATCTCCATGTGTTTCTATCGGACCTTTGAGAGCCCCAGCACACAGAGCAGCAGGCAGATACAAGTTATTTCAGTGTGAACAGTAACTTTATATATGCCATAAAAACAGGCTTCACGGCTGTTGTAGAGCTGCTGACCACAAACAACAGGCTAATCGTGAAGAGTCGTGAACACCAATCTTGTATCCTGCATTCAAGATTTACTATCCTGATGAAACTTTTAGTGCACAAATAAACGACTAAACAAATAAAAAACACACACAAACAACCCGTGACAAATCTTAAGCCTGAAGAAAGTCCAAACATCCAAAGTGTGGTAGAAACTGATAACTGTTCCCGTTATGAGTGCTTCTATAGTTATGAGTAATGATGGTGTGCATGGAGCCAAAGAGTGTGCAGAGCTATGAAAAAAAGGACACGTTGCCCAGTCTTCAGCACGAGCTACAGTAAAAATAGTGAATGTGAATATGGTTTTATTCACTGTTCCACATGCCAACAGTCGCACACCACACTGCGGCATAAATCTATGGGATTAACGGCACACTGTTTGTAACAATAGGAACTATAAGTAGGAACTATTGTTTAGTTCCGTGAGTCACACGGACTGTTATTGTGAAACACTGCCTTGTAACCAGACCGAGCACGATGGACCGTACACGCGACGTGAGAATGTATTAAAGTTTACAACCCAGTGAGGTGAGACCTGAAGAGTGTCCTCGTGTTTGTGATTAAACACCGCATTATAACATGGTGGCAGCGGGAGAGGACTCGGTCTGAGTACGTACTGGTTTACTCCGGTCTGAAGAGTGTGCTGCTAGGTTGAGCCGCTAGCGCGCGACTGCCGTGTGATTCCATGGAGGGACTTAAGCCGCCACAGACGTTGTGTTTGGGCTCCAGCAACCTCTCTAAAACATGGAAGAATTGGAGGGATGAGTTTGTCCTGTATCTGGATCTAACAATGGCTGAAGCTGATGATAAACAGAAGGTAAAACTGTTCAGCTATCTTGTCGGCGAGAGTGGCAGAGAACTTTTGGATACCCTGATGGGCGACACAGCTAGGGATGCATGGAGGATAGAGGACATCGTCACAAAGTTTGATGATCATTGCAACCCCAGTGTGAACGAGATCGTCGAACGCTATTGTTTCTTCACGAGAAATCAGGGCGCCAGTGAAAATATAGACAGTTATGTCACAGAACTGAGACTGCTGGCCAAAACATGCAACTTTGGGACTTTGAGAGACTCGCTCATTCGTGATAGGATTGTGTGTGGTGGTAACAACACGATCATGAGAGAAAGGCTGCTGCGGGAGAAAAACTTGACACTGGACACATGTTTACAACTGTGCAGAGCAGCAGAGCTCTCCAAGGAGAACGTTAAAACCATCACCGGGCCGATGGTTGAAGAGGTGCATGCTGTGCAAGGGGCACAGTACCAGTGGAAAGGCAACAACACAGTGGAGTGTAAATTCTGCGGAAGAACACATGAAAGGACCAAACAGAAATGTCCGGCGTTCGGAAAGAAGTGTGCAAAGTGTGGCAGAGAGAACCACTTTGCAGCGAAATGTAAAGCGAAACCAGACCAAAGGAGGAAGAAAAATGTGAGTACAATAGCAACAGAATATGTGAGTGATGAATATGTTGATATAACATGTATCACTGTGACAGACACTGAGATAGTGGATGCAGTGGAGACGGACTTGGGCAACGATGAAGGCCCAGAGAGAGAACAGGATGTGAAAGATAAAACTGTTAAAGAGGACAGTCAGCTTCTCTATGCTGGTATGCTACTAGGCAAAGACATGGTCAAATTCCAAATAGACTGTGGTGCTAGTTGCAACATCATCCCCATTAACCTGCTGAATCCAGACACCGAGCTGGAACGCACTAAAAGTGTACTAGTTATGTACAACAAAAGCAAGCTGAAGCCAATGGGGAAATGTAAGATTAAAATAAGGAATCCAAGAAATCACAAACTATATCGCTTGGAGTTCCAAGTGGTGAACACAGACGGTGCAGTGCCTCTGCTGGGTCGGAAAGCCAGTGAGGCGATGAAACTGATTAAAGTGCACCATGAGAATATCATGGCAATGGACAGTATAATCACAACAGGAAAACCGACAACAGGGTGGACGATGGAACAAATCAAAACAAGTTATGCTGACGTGTTCACTGGAGATGGCTGCCTTGGAGGAAAATACAAGATGGAGGTGGACAGCACAGTGAAGCCGGTGCAGCTGCCAAAGAGACGGGTTCCAGTGGCCCTGATGAAACCACTGAAGGAAGAGCTTAGAGACCTGCAACACAGAGGGATAATCACTCCTGTAGAATGCAGCACAGACTGGATCAGTGCTATGGTGGTAGTACAGAAACAGAATGGCAACCCAGGGTCTGTATTG